ACATATACAATTTATTTAACTCGTCCCTAAATGAAGGACATTTAGGTTGTTTTCACTCTTTACCATTAGAAATAATTACTATGATGAATAATTTTATAATACATAATTCTGCATATGTGTGAGCATATCTGTAGGAAAAATTCCTAGAAATGAAATTACTGGGTCAATAGTATGAGTATTTTTTTTCATTATTATGTTGTCCTTACTTTATCTGTCTTCTTTTCCCAAATTCACTTCCAACATGCCATACATTCAATCACCTTTCCCCATTTCTGCCTGTGAAGGTGTTTTCTATCCTTCCAAAGTCAACTCAAAGTCCACATCTTTTGTTTATGTACATCTTTTCTCTCTACCACTGAATTTTAATCTCTTAAAGACTAACAACTGTGCTTATTTAATTTTGTTCTGTCATTCTACGGCAATACTTGCAGACACACAGCAAACTTAGATAACCATTTACAGTACTAGAATAAAATAAGTGGTGAATTATGCTATCATTTTTTAAAGACTGAATTTTAATCTCTTAAAGACTAACAACTGTGCTTATTTAATTTTGTTCTGTCATTCTATGGCAATACTTGCAGACACACAGCAAACTTAGATAACCATTTACAGTACTAGAATAAAATAAGTGGTGAATTATGCTATCATTTTTTAAAGTTTTTTGAGCAAAACATTTTCATATTACTAATGGGAAAGCTTAGACTATTGACTCCTCCTTGAATATTTTTAATTGAGTTTCGTCATGGATGTCAAACACTATGTTTTTATCATATTTACCTGAGTTTCTTTATAAGCCACTCATTGATTAAGAGTCGCAAGAGAAAAAACATGGTGCCCTGAGAAACCAAAGCCACAAACATTGCACCTAGTTTATCCATCTCAAAAGTTTCACTTGGGTATTCCACTCCATATGCTTTTAAGAAGTCTAGGACCGCCTGTTGTTGAGAAAGTTCAATCAAGCCGTAGCCAAAACAGAATTGTGGAAAAATCAGAAAAATGCGCTTAAGGGTTTCAGAAATAAGTTCTAAAGTCTGAAATAAGAGAAATAAAAATAAAGATCAGTGTTAGGCTTCCAACAAATTGACAAAAATTTAACACTAGCTGTAGACAAATATTGAAACTGGAGGAGCATATCTAGATTGGCAATTATTTCACATGTATGCTGAATTTGCATACAAATACAATATTTATTACAACCAAGTAGCAGAGGTTTATCACTGAAATACAAGTGGAAAAGGATTATATATATATATATATATATATATATGTATATATATATATATTTTTTTTATTTTTGAGGTGACTTGAAGTGTTGGACCCAGTCCCAGAAGCAAAATCACTTCTACATCTGTCTTAGGATGCCGGGCCAGCCAGGGTATGAGCAGGAGCCTGAGAGAGGGAGGTACTTAGTACAGTAAAATTTCAGAACTTCAGGTAATTCCTGCTTGGAGAGGGACTCAAATGGTGAAATGAGACTGGAAGAAGAGAAAACATATCTCAAAGAGGAGCAAATGGCTCATTTTCATGTTATTCGCACTTGGGGCCAAGTACTTCCACCTCATGAATTTTCTTCCTCCTCCTGGAGTGTGCTTGTCTGTTCCTCAGTTCACTTCATTTCCTCTCTATTCTTTTCTCTTCAATTGCCTGGCAACGTTACTGCTTCTCTTCCCACTAATCATAATTGTCAGCTCTGAATGGAGAGTGATGCTCACAATGAAGTAGACTCCAGTACTTGATTGAAAGGGAATGAATTAGGCTTTTTCTCTACAAATGTTCAAATGAATCCTAACCCGTAGTCATATAAGTAAGCCATTGTCCTTGTCACCACCATACCATAAGAATGTGTTAATGAGTAAAAAGTTTAGCTGACCAATTGCTTGCATAATTTATATAGTGCCATATAATATATGTGATTTCACCTTCATCACCCAGCTCAAGGCATATCAAATGTCAATAGTTTTGACACTCAGTAAATACAATGATAGGCATTAACCTCAATGGCACCTGAAAAGAAGTTTTAAAAGCTATAGCTTCTCATCTCCTAGATTTAGTAGAATCAAATGATATTTTTCTTTTCTATTTAAAGAATGCAGAATAAAAGAAAATCTTTCCACCTTGAACATGTTGAAGCTTTTGATGCATTCACTGATGTTTAGTAGATTAATAAAAGCTCTTACCGGATCATTAAGCTTTTCCTTGGAAAGAAAATATACCACTGACAGGGAAACAATGGAATTGATGCCAAAAAACAAGTTGATGCAGACATAAGTGATGAAGGCCATTCCTGTCTCATGGAAGAGCCCAGCTAGCAAGTACATCCAAGAAAATGTCGCATACCTGTAGATTAATAGTACAAAGAATTAAGATTATGCCTTAATTATTCTATTTTATAAATTAAATTAAATTAAATTAAAACTTAGATGGGGTTCCAAAGTAAAAATAAACATTAGGGGTAAGTTGCCACACCTTGTAACTAGATTTCTCTTTCATTCCTCTATTTAACAAAAAAATCAAAAGGATGTTTTTTAAATGACAGTAAAAAGTCACTCTTTTAAGGAACCTCAAGTGGTTCAACATCATTACAACTCAAATTAATCCCTGCTGGAGATGGTTTTATCCCATCCAGGCAAGACTTTTTTGGCTCAGAAATATAGTTTAATCAGCATAAATCATATAAAGTTGAGGAAAAATACTGATATTGTGGTAGGCTAGCTAAGCAGACAGAGCATGCTTAGAAGCTGGATAGCCTGTTTTGAGCAAAGATTTAAGCAACTTTTAAAGCAATTAAACAGAACTAGAGACAGAGAGGTCCTGCATCAGCTGTAATTGCTAACTAAGAGATACTACCCACACATTCAGGGCAGAAAAAATTGTTATGCTAAGCATTGATTATATCAACCTGTATTACCTGTATAAGCCTAATACAGAAGCAATATTTATTGTGTGTGTACTTAGACATCTATAAGAAGACAGGTAAAAATTAGTATATATGAATTTATATGCACCTTATAATCTCTGTCTATATATACTCATAATTTGTCAACACACATGTATGCACATTTTTCTGGTCATTCTAAAGTCTTCATTTTTATGTAAGTTAGTTTAAATATGTAAATTGGTAAACATCATCAGGACATCCAGTTAAGTATTACTATTAATAATGACATTAATTTTCAGAAGTATTATACTTTGTAGACTGTGGACTGGCAGGTGTAATGGGTTGTTAGTCATCACTCAAGTCAAAAGAAACCCCCAAGACAATTGTAAATTAGCTAATAAGATTTAGGTACTATTTTTGTCTAGGAGCAGTTAATTCTGTTAATTCTTCTTTCATTGCTCAATTGGCAGCTCACCCAAACAGAAGAAGTAGGAGAGATACGGCCCCTAGGTTGTTTTCATTGTAGAAGGCAGGTAACTTGAAAATTGCAATGACACCGATTGAAAATGCTACAGGCACCAAGTAGAAGACCTATAGGAATATGTAAAAAAAAGTTTAATATATGGCAAGTATGTTTTTCTTTAATCAATAACCCATCTAGTTTAAAACTGCAATAAGTTTACCTAGAAATATTTGAGGGAATGAATTTTTATTTATGTTCCTGTTGTTTGTAATGTTCAGTTTATTTTACATTGATTTCACATGAGAATCTGTCACCTCTGATATAAGAAGGTCAAGGCAGTCTTTATCTTTATAGATATAAAAGGAGTCCCTGGTGTTCCTGCCTCTAGGCTTTGAGACTTGGGATCATTCAGTGACAGAGGTTCAGTGAGAAAGATAAGACAGTCAGGTGTCTTGGTGTTGGATTCAGTCCTCAAAGTATTGATTCCATTATGAATGCTGGAACTCTCTCAGATGGTGGATTTGCATGGGTTGTTTATCAGTGTGAGCCACTCTGTGCAAAACAGCAGGGCAGTGGGTCCCACACATTCTTGAAATCACAGATATACAAACAAAGAACTCAGCGTTTTGTTGGCAAGGAGTATTATTAAATGCTGAGGAGTTTGCAGCAAGATGTACACAATGAAAGTGGTGGTAATGTAACTTTGCGGGGGGGGGGGTCTAAATTGAAATGAGCATCAGATATAAGATAACAGAATATAAGTAGTGTAGTAAGCAGAACTTCACAGAAGTGTATACTTGAAGCTTTTGTAACATTATAGCTCCTATTAAGTCCAGAGCAGTCATTACCATTCTTTAAGATTTGACTTCCTACAATAAACACATTTCAGACCTCACTGAATGCATTAACAAAGTGGATATGCAGTTAATTACTCTCTAACCCTTCAAGCCAATGATCTTGACAGCAATTCAGACAATTTCACCATAATCACCAAGCAAATGCATACCCATCCTGGGCTTTTGGCCAACCCTGGCACTCTGGAATGAAGAACAACCATCTGAACTTTGGGATCACTTTATGCAAATGAGAGAGCTATCAATAAACTACAACCCTTTTTTCCCTACTAATATTCTTTAATGTGTCATTCAGCAGTAGCTGGTATTTCGAATTTTTCATTATTAGTTGATTTCATTTTTATAAGCTTGATTATTTGGGACAATTGGATAAAGCTATTCTGCTACTAAGCTTCTATTTCTCCACAGTAGTGGTTCTCAGACTTCAGTGTGCTTCAAATCACCTGGGGGGTCTTGATAAAAATGCATATTCTCCACGTTCCACTCTCAAAATATGAATTTAATAGATCTAGAGTGGAATCCAGGAATCTGCATTTTAACAAGTGCTATGGGGAATCTGATATAGCTCACACAGATGAGAGTAGGTGGGTCTCTCCTTCCTCTAACCATGGAATGAATATAAGCCTGATTCAAATTGTTTTTTTTTAATTTACTGTCCTTGTGATAATAATTGGGACAAATTATAGTAAAAAAACTCTTGAATATGAAACTGATGTCTTCTATCCAGATTAACTGTGCCTTTCCGGCAATGGCGTAAGTTACTTACCATGTCATAAATGAAGTTTGTTACCCAGTAGCATGTCACACCAATGCCTGAAATGTGCTGCAACTGCTTGGCTTTGGTCTGATGTTCCCTTACAACATAGGTGACAAAGCTGGCAGTGGTGACAGAGTAGCCCATCAGGATCGACAGTGCCACTAAAATATCGATTAAACTGCTGATTCTATAGTGAGCAATAGGGAGAGGAAAGCACACGTAAGTTTTTGGATCTTCTTTCAGAAAGATTCATGACTAAAACCACCAACAAAACAGTACAAGAGTTGGCTGTGACACAAAAAAGACTTCCTGCAAGGCAGCCAGATAATATCTTCGATAAGATTCTGCTGTGACCTTGGAACAAATGCCCCTCTAGTGCATCTGAATTGACTAGGGATATTTGACAGAAAGACCTCGGTCTCCAAGGGTTATGGGTTTATGCAAGGGATATATAGTTCTTGAGTATAGAAATAGTACTTAAATGCTATGCAGGAAAGTTGAAATGCTGAAGCCTTTATACACTTGGCTCAAAGAAGCAGCAGCCTCTGTGAATCTGCAGTCAGCAAACAAGCCTGTGTGGCCACTCCATTCTACACCCCTTCAGGAACTTTCTTTTAGCCCAGTGATTTATACTACCAGACCTTCTAGACAGACATTCCTTGAGATACAACTGTGATTTTCAATTATACCACTTTTTACAGAGGCTCAGCTCTGCCAAGGAGCAAGTAGTTGTGCCAGAGACGTCTGCTTACGTGGCTTGTTCTTGGTCTTGCACTCCTGGATAAGGGTGGCTGTACATGATGATGGCTTAAAGAAGAGACAGTTCTTCAGTTAGTAGATATTCAGCTAATCAGAAATACCAATGTTTAGATGAATATTATATAAAACTTTCTTCCTTATGCTGTCATCTAAAGAATTTTACTTTGGGGATCCTTTTTTAAAAGAAAATGATTTTTTCCCCTAATCCCATCAATACCATACAATTGGTAACACTCACATAAAAAGAAAAGTTTTCCACATTATGTTTAGAACCTTTGGAAATGAGACAAGAATTTTATTCCTTGTATAGCATTTTCCCTTCTATTACATTGAAATAATTATTTTCCACTTTCTTCTCTCTGATCATGTATGTATTTGTATTTCAGCAGCACTTCAGAATTGTACCTCATTTAAATAAGTGATTCAAAGGGCTCCCTGAAAAACAGACGCTTACCACTCCCATCCCTCCTTACTGTGGTATGGCAAGTGAGGGGCAATATTGCAGCCCGTATGTTCTACAGCATCCAGCGTAATGTTTTAAGTGCAGTGATTAGTAATGAATGCTCATTAAATTGAATCAAATCTTAACCTTTCAATTCATACTTTCTCCACATATATATTTAAACAAGACATTTTATGTTGTCTCTACGGTTGTAAACCTAAAATGAGATGCTTCCCACTAACTGTTGCTACTAATGCAACAAAGGGTAAGAGTAAACACGAGTGGAAGGGGCCATGTGTTAGTATTTTTGAAAAAGAGCTTAGTTGTGCAATATTTGTCAGGGAAAACAAGCAAACCTGTATTTTTTGGGAAGAACAGAATTTTCATGTAGAATTAACCACTAGAGGGAACCACATGAATATAACAGATATTGACATTGCAAAGGAAAGCTAATTAAAAGATTTTTATTAGCATGTTTGAATTCAAAGAAAATCAATTTTACAGCTAAAGTAAAATCCCAATTTATGCAGAATCTAACAAAGCAGCCTTCAAACGAGTAGTGTGTTAGGGGGAAGTGGCAGGAGAATTAGGTTAATTTTTAGAGACCAGTAATATTACCATGGTAGACCCCATACATGAATTATGAAACAATAAAAGTATCTTAGGGTGATATAAATTTCTTCTTTAAAAGAACTCAAACTCCCTCCAGAGAGGGTGGAAAGCTACCAATTTCATAGGTCTATATAATAAAAATGAATAAAGTATAGAAGGCACACTACTACTAACCTCTATTCAGTTATATACTGAAGCTAAGCCTTATATTTAAATTAAAAACAATTATTTCAGGGCCGGCCCGGTGGCGCACTGGATAGTGCGCCGCTTGGGAAGCGCGGCGGCGCTCCCGCCCGAGGGTTCGGATCACACATACAGACCGGTTCCCGCTCACTGGCTGAGCGAGGCGCGGGAGCAACGCCGAGGGTTGCGATCCCGTTGCCGGTCCCCGGTCCGGTACGGGGGCAACACTGAGGGTTGCAATCCGTTGCCAGACACGGAAAAAGACAAAAAAACAGAAACAAAAACAATTATTTCAGCTTAGGGTCAATATAAAGTTTATGTTCTAGAACTTTTAATTCTTTATGCTCTGTAACTTAAAATACCATGGTAGAAGCTACAACAAGCCTGCTGGAGTCCAGAGTGACTCAGATTGCCTCGATCTAAGTAAAGAACAGTAATTCCAAAGGAATCTGGAATACAGGCTTCAGAGAGCTGACCCTTCAAACATGGCATTGGTCTCTTGCTCTCTTTATCTTTGCTACATTTTCCTTTAGTCATTTCTATAGTTTTTGTACTTTCATTATCTGTCATAACAGTATATGTCTTTTGCTCTGAATAAAACATCCTACTGAAAGTCAAGTGTTCAATAGTATTTCAAACTAGGTTACACTGGACGCACCTTGCTTTAGTCACCATTTAATTTAATTTACCACTTTGACTATGCCCTTTATTGATGCTTTAGGTCTAAGGACTATCAGTCTTGTTATTTTCTTCATGGTTCCCCCTGCTAGGAAAATGCCAAAGCAATTGGGAAAAAAATACTGTTTTCTCTGAAATGAAGACTCCTAAAGAGTCTGCTGCTGGAGTGAGTATTTCACTCTACAGTTTACTTCTATATTCACCAAAACATCTGGCACACACTATTATGCCCAACAGCAGGGAGATGAAAGAAAAGTAGGTGTTGGCATTTCTGATAGATGTGTGGTGTCTTTTTCCCTACTTGACAGGCTAGATATCAGGCTAGAAACTCAGCCGTGACCAGCAATTGTGTTATTCAGTTTTTCTCCATATTTCTTCTTCTTTTTTTTGTTTTAGGATAAGTATGAAAGAATAATTTGAGCAAGTCTCAGGAAGACAAAATGTCTGATGAACAGTAATTGAATTAGAAAAAAAATAAATCAGTCTCTTTCAAATGCCAAACTTTATTTTAAAACTTCGTGGAAGACTCTAGGGAAACTCAACTGAAGTCAACCTGGCTGAATCCAGAGAAGCCATACAGAGTATTAGAAGGATGAACAGGCAGAGGGGAAGTGGTGGATTAACAGGTACAAAACTACGCTGTCTACCCTAAAGTGGTCAATGTACAGCATGCGCATGTATTGAGACAACACACTGCACCCTGCAAATATGTACACATAAATGTTAAATTTTAAAAAATAACAAAAGAAAAGAAAAAAGAAAAATGAACAGGCATAGTCAGACAGTCCTGGGTCTGAATCACACTTTGGGGCCTCAGAGAAATAACAGTAGGAAACAATAATGCCCTGAGGGTGTTGTAAGGATCAGCAACATTTCATATAAAGCATGTACCATATGGTAAGTGCTCAATAAATGATAGCACTTTGGGTCAGCTGTAGTGTTTTTCAGTTTAGAAGTTTTGTCTTTATGTTTAGATGTAAGAACAATATTTGTAAACATTTATTGTTCAAAAAAATTTTAGCCTAAGATAACAGTTTGAAAATATTTTCCTATGAGATGTAACTACTAGGTGTGACAGCAGACCTGAGTGTGAAGTCAACATTATTATCCTGACTTGATAAATGAGGAAACTAAATTAACCTGAAGTTAAGAGGATTACCCAGAATATTCCATCTAGCGGTAGTTACTACTTCTAAACTCCTTTTAAAGACCCATGATTTAGATACCATAAAAAACCCACCACTTGGAGGAAACAGGGTATAATGTGCATGTTTATCTGAAGAGTATCAAAGTTGCAATACAAGACACTTCTTTGTAAGTAACTTTACCGTGTCGGGCAGCATCATATTTTGACATGTTAACTCGCAGGAGAAAATTATTCAGGCTGTTGAGGTAGGCTGGAAGGGAGTGATAGCCTTCTGGATCATACCATACCTGTCAAATTCCAAAAGAAGGCCAAATCAATATTGTGTTCAAATAAATTAGGCTGTCTTGACATCTGACAGGCTACCTTATTTATATTTAAAATAGGAGCACCAATTTCCCAATAACTCATTTCATCTTGGAAGGTTAAACTATACCCCAGAGTGTTGACCACAGACCTATAAATTTCCAACTTAGAGATGGGCAAAGTTTGGGAAGACAGTCGTGTGTGACAGAACTAAGTTAGTGTTTATTCCGGATCTTCTCTATAGGAAAAGCTTGAAATAAATTGCAAAAATCATTGTCACAACTCTCTCTGTAGAGGATACATGGTGATTCTGAGAGTAGAACTAAGATATTCTAGCACTTAATAATAGGAATGAAAACAAAAGGCATATAGACCAGGCTGAAGAAATAAAATACATATATAAGCATGTGTCCTTAGCAACAGGATTGATAACAATGAAATCCCCCACTAACTTTCTATTCGTAGCTATAACTCACAAGACAGTGAGTTACTTCACCTTCTATGTCAAAAACAAGTGGTTTAAAATAATGGTGCACCTCAACTCAAGAAATGCACTTGATAATTCAAAATTACAAATTTCATTTAAGAGTGATTTTGTATTAGAAACTTCCTTGTTGACGAAAGAATATTTACACTGTGGAGAGAGGAAGGAGAGGAAGAAAAGGCAGGCACTGAAACCCCCAGCATTACAATTAACTTTTTACATGACCTTGTGGAAATCAGCTAAAACAGGACCAATAATATCTGTCTCATAGGGATGTGAGGCAGAAATTAGGTATTTTGTGAAAAAGGTGATATTAATGCTTGACATATAACGGTCACTAAATAAATATTAGTTTCCCTAGTTTCCCCAAGAGCATATATGTCTCTTACTATTAAGTGAGAAATCTGTGAAGGACAATTTAGAAATCCCTAAGACTATCATTGATCATATGGGTAATCACATGTGCTGATTCTGTGACTCTAGCTTGTTTCTAGTTATGATTTAGAGGGAAAAAAATAATAAAAAGCCAGCAGGATTATTTATCTCCATCAAATTCAGTTAAGCTCTTTAAGAAGCAAGGCTAAACATACATGTTTCCATTCTCTAAAAAGTTATATACATAAAGAAAAATGCAAAAAACATAAGTGTAGAGTATAAAAAAATTATAAAGAGAGCACACCCATTAAAGCATCACACGGGTTGAAAAATAAAAATTGTCAACATCCAGAATACCTTCTCCCTGACCTTCTGTGTCCTTCCAAATCACAGTACTTTCTCTCTTTCCCCTAAACAATATGGTTGAGTTTTGTCTAATCTTGAAGCTGAGTTCTTTTATTTCCATTGTTAAAGTTTTATTGAATGAATACAAAACAATTTATCTCTTTATTCTACTGCATATGGGTATTCGGGGTTGTGTTTTTGGCTATTGTGAGAAATACGACTATGTACAGTTTTGTGCCTATATCCTGGGGCTTATGTGTACACTCTTCCCTAGGGTACATACACAGGACTGGAACCACAGGGTATGCGTAATGCCAAATTGATCATACCCATGTTTTGTTTTTACCTCATGAAAATGCTTGAACATATCAATTTCACATTCTCATTTGTATGATATCTCAGAAGAAAAATCATAATTTACCTTGGCAAGTGTTCTATCAGCAGGAACTGCTGTTACATCAAAACGAAGGTCTTTAGTCAAAGGCAGCCCAAAACTCCAACCTCCATATCTACATAGAGTAATAAAATTTATATTTGTTTTAATGTAGAAAATTTTCATAGATGGATAAAAAGTACTTAACTAGGAGCTCAATTTTTTCTTTCCATGAGGAACACATTTATAGTATGAAATAAATACTGCATGGCAAATATCTTATATTTTTATTGATTCCCTTTACCATATTTAGTCTCCAGTGTACATTATAACTAGAGATAAAAAGTACTTCTAAACAATTGCATATGTACAGTAATCATTCTGAAAACAAGTGATGTGACATATAATCTAATCAATTCTTTCATTTTAACTGACCTATGCACCATCTCAAAAAATCTTAATGTTTTCATGCTCAAATATTTTTTTTAGACAATACAAAAGTGATATAACATTAGTTCTTATCTTTTTTCAAATGGCTCAATTTCTTCTATACCTCAGGCATTTTTCCCTAGCATGTCCCCTGGCGCTATACTTTCTCTCTTCCTGAATGTTTGAAAGTAGCTTGGGTCTATTTAACTACCTGTAAGTTCATGATCTCCTAAAAATAAAAAGTTGATTTTTAAAATCAAGTAATAATTTTAAGAACAGATTAATTCAAATGTTCACCAAATTAGGGTCAAAGTTAAATAAATAATGGTGCAATTATATTAAAATAATCTTATGGCTATCATCCTAAATATGATGCTCTACAGCTATAGTTGTGGCATGCAAATAACATCATAGTATATTGTTGGTTTTCTTAAAAAGGCAGGCTTTAGGACAGTTTGTTTATAATAAAATCCATTTTGTTGAAAATATTTACATATGTATCTGTGACCAGAAAATTTCTTGAAGGATATACACCAAAATATTAATAGTGGTTATATCTGGGTGAAAAAATAACATTTTTTGCTCATCTGTAAGTTTTTAATTATTTTACAGTGAATGTTAATTATTTTGTATGTTGAGAAATGAAGGAGGGAAGAGATGGAGTAAAGAAGAAATTGCCAATTGTCACCAAAAGGCATGCCTTAAAACTCTCTAAGCTAGTATAATCCAGTCAATAAATTCTTTTTGCTTCCAGAAAAAATATACAAATTTAATATACATTTTTGAGGCCTAAAAATGCTTTTCAGTTTGCTAAAATAAATCTTAATTTACAGTCATTACTTAAATTTTAATACAGAAAGTCGTCTAGGGAAAACAGAACTTAACCATATAAATACTAGAAATTTGCATTTATTGTCTCTATTGTCTCAAGTTTACAAGACAGTTACTACTAAAATTAGAAAGCAATTAAATATATAATAAACAGAGTACTTTACCTTTTTTGGACAAACTCATTTGCAGTTGATATAAGATAATTTTCCATGCGGTGCCCAGTGAGGTTATAAATTACTTGGTTAGAATAAGTTCTTCTATGAGGTGGGGAATAGTTAAATTTAGGACATTCCTAAAAAATAAAGTTAAAAGTTACGTTTTTTTCTGGCAATGCTGTGCAAATTAAATATACAATGTCAAGGAGCTTCAGTCTCATGATTTGTCTATTACTGCAACGGGTAGAGTGTGATAAGACTGTCCTTTGACTCTAAAGAGCTTTGAAAAACAAATCATCTTGCCTGTGCTTAGAAATTAGAATCTGTGCAAATTAAATATACAATGTCAAGGAGCTTCAGTCTCATGATTTGTCTATTACTGCAATGGGTAGAGTGTGATAAGACTGTCCTTTGACTCTAAAGAGCTTTGAAAAACAAATCATCTTGCCTGTGCTTAGAAATTAGAACATATAGTTATTATATATGTGGAGCATATACATGTATTTAGGACTCACTTAAAGCCAAAAAAGAACACAAGTTAACAAATGTATGATATTCCTTGCACTGTGCTGACAAGTTTAATATGTTTGGAGAATGACATTAAACATTAAGATGACACAAAATTCCCTCAATAATTCATAGTAAAAGCCAAAAAATTGTTTGCCTCAAATTGAAATGGTAATGTTAACAGACGTAACTCGTCAGGGCTGACAGCAGTGGATGAAATATTCAATACATTAGTTTTAGGTACCTAACCTAGGAGACGGAGCTTAGTTATATATATTAGTCTTTTATATATTGCATTTGTGTGTGTGTATATATTAGTTTTATATGTTTTATATATATTTGTTATATATAGAAGTTTTATATACTCATATATATTTGTTTTATATATATCAGTTTTCTATACACAAACTTTTAGTCTGGAATAATTTTAGATTTACAGAAAAGTCATAGAGATAGTACAGACAATTTCTGTATATCCCTTGTCTGGTTTCCCCATTGTTAACATCTTATATTACCACATACATTTGTTTAGAGCTTAGTTTTTATTTTTATGCTCATTTATTTTTATGTTCATAGCTTTCTGCACCTTCTGTCCCTTCTCATGCTTCATTGCCATTCAGTTTGGGAAAAGTCTAGCACTTTTCCAGTTTTTCCTTTAATCTCTACACACTATGTCCCAGAGCCTGCAGCTAGCACCACACGTGTGTCCCAAGAACACAAAGTTGCACATTTCTCTAAAAAATCCAGTGCTGGATTTCATCTCACATCAAATTGTATCAACCTGAAGATCACCTTCCAGAAAAGCACTGGTTTCACAAATAATTAAAGGAAGATGTGCTTATCTGTACAGCACCTTAATTATTTGTGAAACCAGTACTGTTTCACAAGGTGAGAGATCACCAGGTGATCTTCAAGTGGAAGATACTCTTACCTATACAGAACATTTTTTTTAGCTTAACTTTTTTACTAAATTATATTATATATGGAGAAAAGCACATGTATTTTAAGTGTACCACTTGATGAATTTTGACAAACTGAATATACCTGTGTAACCAGCAACCAAGTCAGGAAATAAAACAATCCCAATACCCTAGATGGCCTCTCATTACACTCCTTTCAAATCACTAGTACCCCCAAAGTAAAAGACAGATTAGTTTTGACTTTTTCTATATTTTATATAAATGGAATAATATAATTTGCACTGTCTTGTGTCTGACTCTTTTCTCTTGTCATTATGTTTGTGAGAATTTTCCATATGATGTGTATAGTTACACATCAATTATTTTGCTGTATATGCATATAGTATTCCATTGTGAAAATATATCACATTTGACTTATCTATTCTACTGTTGGTGGACATATGGGGAAGTATTACAGTGTTGCTATGAATTTCCTAGTATATGTCTCTTAGTGAATCTGTTCATATTTCTGATAGGTATATAATAACAGTGGAATTATAGGTTCCACAGGGTATGCATATTTTCAACATTAGTATATATTGCCAGTTTTTAAAACTGTTTGCACCAAATTAAATTCCCATCAGCAGGGTATGAGAGTTCTGGCTGCTGAACATTTTTGCCAACACTTGGAATTTTCCTTCTTAATTTTAGCCTTTCTGGTGAGTGTGGAGTGGTATTGCTTTGTGGCTTTATTTTTATTTCTCATTGTTATTAAACAGTTGAAAATAGTTCTGGAGATATTATTTAAATCCATAATAATCATATACAGTGTATATTGACAAAATAAAAATTAAAAAAAAAAAAAAAATAAAATAAAATAAAATAAAATAAAATAAAAAAATAAAAATTACTCAGATTCTAACTTAAATATTAAGTTAGCTGACTTTTACTGTGAACTAAGAAAAAACATGAAGAATTTCAGAAATCAGCTAAATTAGATGAGGGATTAAAAAATTCTGAATACTGGGTGAGAATAATTTTTAAATTTGCAAGGATTTCAGTCATCGAGTCCCAGCTCTTCTTGTTACCATTTTGTAGGAAAATACCAAAATCGGTTGTATTCACTAAAAATATTTTTATTCTAAAATATTGTACCAAGACAGTTCAGGGTATAACCCATGTGTCATTTTGAAAAAAAATATTGCTAGATTCCCCACTTTGAGAAAGTAAGTGGACAACATAGTGACTCTTAGAAACTAATAGTGACCCCTCTTCTTCAACAATCTTTAACTTTCCTAGTGAATTTAGTTCTCTTAGAAGTTTGGCAAATGGATAAGCTTAGACAACTAAGGTCTGTATCTATAGAATGTAGACAGAGTAAGTGATTGTTGGATCATTTTTCTATTTCTTTCAAGAAATGATTTTTTTTCTGTAACCTGGAGGTGTTCTTAGCGACATATAGAGTTCTGTCCTGGATTTACACATTATTGACTCCCCAGCCGACCACTACTGTATTTTCAAATATGACAGTTATGGTGGACTTTGTCTTGTGAAACATAAAGCTTTCTAGACAGAACTGAATCAAGACTGAAAATTCGTTTTCAGTTGGTTACCACAAAGACCATCACAGAATTACCTACCTTTGGATATTTGTCCTGAGAAGGATTAAGGATTTAAAACAGTGACCTGAAGTTCAAAGTCAATATTTTTGAGCTACCCAGGTCCATATCTCCGAGTTACTAGCTTCAATAAAATGAAATTATACTGACTCCTTGGTAACCCAGATAGATCTTTCAAGTTTCAATATTTACTCCCTTCTTTTTCCTACTTCACTAAAACTGAATTCTATCTTACCTGGATATTTTCTGAGCAGGAGCAAACACCAAAATTAGTGATAGGTTCTCCACTGGTATTCCATTTTTCCAGACTGTCTTTCTTTAAACATCGCCTGCAAAATAAATCTTTACATATGAGCTTATTAGCAAGTACTTGGTATTAAATTCAGGTGTGTAGTCCTAGGTACAATTTACTGATTTTTTATGACTTAAATATAGATTGCACTACCATTTTCAAGTAATTTGACATTTTGTGGTGGGGTATTGAGGGATAGCATCTATTTGATTAAATGGTATTGAGAGCAAAGCTCACCAAATTGTCTCACTGTGGCAGGACGGAGATTTTTGTCTCCTTTATTCTCTCTACTCTTTCATCCTCTCTTCTGACAGGATGGGGATGCATTAGCATAATAATGCACTAATGTCAGGTTTATATGTGTTATGTACTATCTTGGAAACTTGAATAAGCAACACTGCATAGAGCAAAAATATGAGAATTGGAGTCAGAAGACCTTGGTTTCAGCTTTAGCTACACAATTTACTATCTAAATTTCTTTAGATAAGTATCTTAGTCCCTGTGAGCCTCAGTTTCTTTAACTGTAAAGTGAGATTAATAACTTGTAGGGTTGTTGTGATTGTTAAAGTATGCATACAAAAGAGCTGTACAAATTATAAAGCATCTAATGGTTGTTATTACAGTATAGTATAGCCATGGAATGAACTAAAGGAGATAAAATCTGTTAAAAAAAAAAAAAGATTTTTGTCAGGGTACTGCCCTCTTCCAGCCAAAGAATACACACACTCACACGCACACACACACACAAAAAAAAGATTTTTGTCAGGGTACTGCCCTCTTCCAGCCAAAGAATACACACACTCACACGCACACACACACACACACACACACACACACACTGGAATGTTAAAAACAAAACAAAAAGAGCACAAGCAACTTACAGATCACTGGTGTTCAGACACAGGTTGTCAATGCCAGGGAAGTCCCACATTGCTGATTCCAGTGCTTTTGTGCTTGGGTGAGAATTCCTGCAATATTAAAGAACAGAAATAAATTCATGATTCTTCCATATTAAAACTGTGCTCACATATAATTTGAAGAAATGAAATATGCTGTCTATAGAATTGGTTTCTTAAAAATCTAAGACTCAGTGTCAGAAAAAAAAAATGGTATCACAGGAAAAAATATGCACATGTCTCTATTTTGCTGCCTTATTATTCTAATCATTACACACATTTAGTGATCATCTATTGTATATATAACATTATATTACACAGAATTATGACACCGATGTTCATTATTCTTGAGATCAATAAAAAGTTATTTGCTGTATATTGCAACAAATTGGGAAGTCACATCTAACCTGGCTTTCTTGATTAAAGTCTAATCATTAAAAATAAATATCTATTGTAACTTTGTTTTTAGATGACTGCAAAAATTCTTAAAAAGTTATCTGTTGGTGATAAAAAGTGATGTATTACAATAAATCAAACTGTCAATTCCTTTAGCAGAATTAGGTACTGTGGGTCCAAATTTCTCTATTCTTCAGCACTCCACAGCATTCAGTCAGGTATACCTATACCTCTAGAAGCATCTTGGAAACACTCAATTTATTTTATTTTAATTTATCAATAGACAATGTAGTTGATTTTCGTGTCCCTTTTCTACCCTCCCTCTCTACCCTCCCCCCATCAACATCATATCTGTTCGCAAGTTCAAGGAATTGTTGTGATTGTTGGGAAACACTCTTAATTAATGGAAAGAAACTTACGCATAGAAGGCTGTCTGCTCAGAGGTGCCATAAAGAGAAGGGGAGATCTGGATTTCAGGATAACTGTTGCTGGAATTTCTCAGTGTGCCGAGGCCCATGGCAGTGGTTACAAAGACGATGGGGAGGATAACCTGAGCAATAAGACCTTTCCAGTTCCTGCGGGTGTGGTGGAACCTCTTAATGAGAATAGCCATTATCTTTTTTAATAGCAGTCCCAAACCATCCAACCTCTCTCCTCTTGTCAGGATTTTGTCTGATTAAGAAAAAGAGATTTGATATAATTATGGGAAATCATCATAATTCAAGTAGTAACTTCAAAAACTATGGATGGATGGTACAATATGGTGTGGTGGGTAAAACTTATATTTTAAAGATTTGGATTTGAGGTTCAGCAATTCACTTATCAGCTTTGGCCTTGAGCCTCTCGACTGGGAAAATTGAGGACCATAATACCCATCTCATATAGAACTGTATGTAAAAGTGGTTTGAAAATTGTAATTCACTATACACAAAATATTAGTCATAAACATAGTAATTTTACATGTCACAGTTAGATTTATATAATTTTATCAATAAATAACGTCTCCAAACTCTCAAGTCTCAGTGTAGTCCAGTACATATTACTAATTGCTAATACTCAAGACTAGCCTCTATCAAGAGATTGAATTCAAATTAGAGACTAAAACACCAGCCTAGTCCAAGAACTCATTCCAATTGTGAATAATTTAATGATTGTGAGTCTAATTGGCTCTTATTCTAATGTGAGGTCCAAAGAATTCAGCCTAAATGTAGGAAAAGGAAATCCCTCTCCTCCAAAGTATAATTCTAGCTCAAACACTCATTCATTACATTCTCTTTAGAAATTTGGAATGATTATATAGCTTTTCAAAACTCCATTTTTACCGTAAGAGTCACAAAAAAGAACTTATTGGAAAAAATGTCTACCCTCCCTTCCAATATGAAATGCTCTTCAGGTGCTGCGAAAAATTTCATGGCTTCTGAGAATCAGAGCAACTGTGGAGGCCATAAACTGTTGCTACCTCAAAAGAGCTCTTACAGCTAATAATTTCAGCAGCCCTCTTTAAAATATAGTTCAAATATAGTATTCTCTCCGAAAGCCTGTTACCACACATGCCTTCACATGTAATAAGGTGACAGTATTCGTCAACTCTGTGTATATTTTTAATTTTCCATCACAAATTATGCAGCACAAAAATCATGATCTTCATTTAGCTGATAAGAAAAAATACAAAGCTGCTTAATTTAAAATGAATTCCAATTAAACAGAGTGAACAAGTTTAAATGCAAACTCATATCTCTGCAAAAGGGAACTATGGAAGGAACTGAATATTTTGAGTTAATTAGTATGCTTTTCTGTTTCTTGAGAAATTACATGTGGATGACTTACAGGTGTATCAAATGGAGCAAATGTGCTTTCTCAAAGATAATGTCAATGAGGGGAATATTTTGACTGAAAAGTAGTTTCAAATTATGAGACAAACGCAGAGGAAAATACACAGCATTTACTTCCTGAAGCAGATGACCACTTTCTAATCAAAGACCTCAATTCCATGGACTTCACGACTTTATTCCCCAAAATTTGATAAATGAGAAATATGGCAGAGGACAAATGAGACTCAAGTTCCAGAATTATACAAACATCAGAGATTATCTTTTCTGAGTTTTAAAGCCAGGAAAATGTTTAATTAAAAGTTCTGTTTCTAGAGATTTTTCCCAATTTAAGCAAACTGCTTAAATGACTACTCTATAATTAATGTATCATTTTACTATATGCTTCCTTAAGAAAACAGTGTTTCCAGAGGTATAAATTAACTGTCAGAAAGAGAGTTAAGAGACAATATAAGTTTTTTCAAAAGCAGCCAATCTTTCAAAGTCATGTCAAGAAATAAAACTTTTTAAATATATCCCTTGTGAAGAATTGGGGTGGGGGGGAACCTATTATTATAGATTCTTAGCCATCAAGTTCAACTTTATCATTTCAGAGATTATTCCCTGAAAGCATTTTCTCAGCACCTGAATGACTCAGAGTGAGGGGAGGTTAGACATGGTTTCCAGTGAGATACCATAGATGACTCTTTTTTTAAACTTGTTTTTGATGACTATTGCCTCCACTTGAACGCGTCTAACAACAGGGAATAAACTATAAGATAAACTTGTCTGTCATTGGACAGCACCAATTATTGGACAAGTTAAAAAAGGACTTTAATTTGTTGAGCATGAGTCTGAAATTGTAGTAAATTACACCTTGAAAATGACTTGTGGTGGGTTGAAGGAATACTTTACCACCTTATCGAGGAAGGTCTCATGTTCTCCAAAGTACATACTTTTAAAGGAGAGAATTAGATTTGGTCTAATGAATACTTTGTATATTAAAAAGGGAAGCTTTTATTTCTTTAGTATTTTTGAAGTTAGAAAGAAACTTTGAAGTTAAATTTTAAAAAAATCAAAATTGGTGATTTTCTCACTCATGTCACCTATTGGAATTCATCAAAATATCCACGTTAGATTTATACCGTCTCTGTCTGTGAAATTGCTGCTGCTCACAGACAAATCGTCAGGAGTTGAGATGCCGTTGGTACTGGAATTTCCGATTTTCTTTTGTGTTAAATGTTCAAGACTCATATCACTATTTTTTTGTGACTCTTTAGTTAAGTTCAGAAACACCTAGAAAAAGAAGCCAGATCACTTCATTAACATAAAATGTGCACATCTTTTCTAATTTCTAAGCTTAATTTTGATTTCGAATTTCTATCACATTTATTCAGACAAATATTTCCCATCTGACTTTGAGTATTTTTGTATGTAAACAATATGTGTTCTCTGGTTGGAGGAACATTTTATTCTCAGAAGTCAGTCTTACATAAGAATGCTATAGAGATAGTTTTGAGCTTTACTGGTTTTGTGAAATGCTTACTTAAAAATATTTATTTTACTTTTTTAAAAAACTGAACATATTTCTTCTAAGGGAACAGCAAAAGTTATACCAGCTTTAAGAAAACAAGAAATGTCCAGGTGTACCTCTTCCACGGTGGTATCTGAAATGCCATAGCAGCCAATGTTGAGGTCACCCATGCCACTGTCCAGCGCTCTCAGGAGTGACAGATAGGCTCCTGAGACTTCGGTGCTAAATGGAGGAAGCACGTACACAAGCTCTCCCCCAATATCCTCTTTGAGGTAGGCATCAGGGAGGTGTGAGCGGATCATTGCTGTCACGGCCATTGTGTCACATACTGTATTTGCATTTAGATTTGGACTCTAGAGACAAAACAGAAGTTAAACACTCCCTTCTCCTTACACTGTAGTACCCAAGGACCCAAATCAGAAGGTCGTGAGTCCTTTTAGGCCACTCCAGACCTGACTTAGGTCCAGTGTCTCCCTATCCCACTTGGGGTCCCCAAGTCACCATTCTATCAATTGCATGTTCCCACCCCACCCTGTCCCTTCTCCAACCTCATAGCCCACCATCCTCCCTGTCATGTGCTCTACTCCAGCAACAACAGTGTCCTTTCTGTTGCTAGAGGGGTCAGGCTCAGGCATACCCCTTCCTCAGGACTTTGGAATTGCTGTTTCTTTGCCCCAGATAGCCACATGTTCTCTTCTCTCACTGGCTCCAACACATGGCCCAATGGTCCCTTTCTCAGAGACTCCTTCTCTTATTACTCTGCTTATAAATTACACCACCCAGCATTCCCTCTTTCCCCTCTCCTGCTATTCATAGCACAGAAATAACTATACTAAAGAATTTACTAACTACTAGTTGCTAATATACTAAATAATTTAGTTATTGATTGTATCATCTGAATTCCTCACATTCCATCAGAACAGAAACTCCATGGGGCCAGAGATTTTAATGTCATTAGTTCACTGCTGCAACTCTACTGCCTAGGACAATGCTGGGTACATCATAAGGCATAATACACACTTAATGCACACATTCCTGAATGGATTAACAAATGTAACAATAAACTACTTTTTATATTTTTGAAATCACCATCAGGATGATTAGATATACAATAAATGAAGACAGTAAAACATGCCTAATAGTATATACATCTTATACAGTATTTTTATATCATATGCTCTGTTAGATGTAACATGACTCCTTAGCCAGATTTTTGTTCTTCAAAAGATGTATATTGACAAAATAAAATAAAATTTGGAAGTAAAAAAAAAAGATGTAAGACATGGTTGACCTTAGTTATAGTCTCCGCACTGCCACTTGAAGAGTCCTAATCAGGAAGTGAATACATGACTTCATATTCTCTTCAGTTTCTTGTGATAAAGCAGAAAATCTAATTTTTAGCATTAAGGCTGAAATGTTAAGGAAACTAAAAGGCTGATCCTCCATCAGTAACCCTAAAATGCAGATCAATTTTTACCTAGTACTTTGATTCTCAATATACAGTTCCCATACCAGCAGCATCAGCAGCACCTGGGAACTTGTTATTAATGTACTAAATTCTGGAGCCCTATTCTGGACCTGCCGAATCTGATTCTCTTGGGATGGGGCCGGAAGTCTGGCTTTTAACCAAGACCTCCAGGATTCTGATGCTTGCTCAAGTCTGAGAACCAATAAGCTAGCATATTAATGAGTTTTAGCAATGAATAAACTTGAAGAGATTCTGCCTCCATTTCATATAAAAAATCAATGTATGACCCCCATAAGAAGATATGGTTTCTCTCCTACCAACCTTCTTCTTGGTGAGCGTGAGGTGATAGCCATCCCCAAATACTTCCTTGAGGTAAAACGGTGACCCGCAGCACCGGAGCCCGCCATGCTCCAGGAAGGCGATGCGGTCACTCAGCACTTCTGCCTCATCCAAGTGGTGCGTCGACAGAATGATTGTTCTGGCTTGAAAATACAGACGAGGATGACAGAGAATGCAAAATGAAGGCACCATCCCCAAGACAGAGAGTAACCAGGAGTAAACAAGGGCAAGGGTCACGTTTTATGAGCTAACTAAAAAACTAACTGATCACAAAGAACTTCCAAAATGATCAAAGAGAAATTCAGAGGATGAGCTAACTAAAAAACTAACTGATCACAAAGAACTTCCAAAATGATCAAAGAGAAATTCAGAGAGAGTGTTCTTAAATATTTGAGGTGCTTTCCATATAAGACAGCAGCAAATAAGCAGCTAACTAAAAAACTAACTGATCACAAAGAACTTCCAAAATGATCAAAGAGAAATTCAGAGGGAGTGTTCTTAAATATTTGAGGTGCTTTCCATATAAGACAGCAGCAAATAAGCATTTATTACACCGTATGGCTAAGTGTCCATCCTGTGTCCTGTGGGCACTAGCAACTCAGCCCAATTGTCAGAGTTTTGCTCCTGGGGCTTCATTTTGCACTCTTTCTTTCTCTGTCTCTTTTTCTTCCTTCCTTCACTATGAAAAAGCAATAATTTTAAAGACTTTTTGCATATTCCTCTCTGATCAATCCACTCCACACTGATTACTCCTTTGCTTCACATCCTGTTAGCACTTATTTAGTCTGTTTTCAATTTATTTTCATTTGTGTATGTTTGATATCTCTAATTAGATTCTAAGCTCCTCTAGGCAGACTTTGGAACTTCTCTTGGATTTGCATGCTTTCAAAAAGGCCAGTTAAGTACTCTGCTCACAGTGGGCACAAGAAGGATAGTAGCTAATTGACCCAGAAATTTAGCTGGGAAAAGAGAAATCTTGAGAAAACAAAGAGCCAATCTTAGATGTTTAAAGAAAATATTAAACAAAAAGGCTTCAACTTGCTTTAGTGTATCCCAGAGGGCAGACTTATGACTGTTGGGTGGAGAAGATATGAGAAAGTACTCATACCAGTTTTGTTCTTGGATATAACATCCCATATACTTCGACGAGAACATGGGTCAACTCCAGTGGATGGTTCATCCAAAATTACTACCCTTGATCCACCAATGAGAGCTATGGATATGGATAATTTCCTCTTCATTCCTCCCGACAGTGTTCCAACTCTCTTATGACGATGGCTGTACAGTCCAGTATCTTTTAAAGTCCTTCAAAAAAATGTATGGTGGTTATTTTTTACAGATAGTCTATCTAAATACTAAAAAAATACAATAAACACCCTAAGTGCTAGGTATTCACTAAGCAACTATTATGTACTCAGTAAGGTACAATAAATTATTGAAGATTCATAATATAGTTTTCTGTTGTTTATCACCTAGTTGGAGGTACAAAAGTAATACTCAGAAAAAACCACAAGGGAATATATAGTTCATTCATTTGACCAATATTTATAGAGTGCCTGCTCATTTTGTGCCAGGCCATATTTTAGCTTCTGGGGAAAAGCAGTAAGCAAATTAAGGTCCTACCCATATGGAGATTATGTTCTAGTATGTGTGTGTATCAGGAGGGATATGGGGGAAATCTAGTTGATAAACATATTCCCAAGTAACTTTCTAATATGCCAGGTAATAAGTGCAATACAAAATAAATAAAGCAGGGTACATGCAATGAGGAGTGCCTGGGGCATGCTGTTTTAGGCATCTATTTTATACTTGGCAGTAACCTCAGAAAAGGATGCCATTTGGGCAGAGACCAGTAAAGTGGAGGAGTAAGAAATGGCTGTCTGGGGAAGGGTGCTATAAATAGAAGGAAGAGTAAGTGAAAAACCCTGGGGCTGGAGCAGCCTAGCACACCCAAGTGTACAACTAGGCCAGTGCACCTAGAGCAGAGTGACTGGAGGGAGTGGAAGGAAGAGAAATCAGAAATGAGACTGGGGGCAGGTCATGTAGGGCTTCATATGCCTCGATAAAGACACCATTGAGTGTTACACTGAGCGTGGCAAGAAGCCACTAGAGGGTTTGAACCCAGAAGTGACATGCTCTGATTTGCAATTTAAAAAGATCGCCCTGGCTGCTCTTTGAGGAATAGGTTGTATGAGGGAAGAGCGGAAGCCTGAAGTCCAGTTAGGGGGCTTGGACCAGTGTAGTAGCCATGGGGATTAGAAATAAAGGATTTGGGGCAATATGGGAGCCAGAGATGAAGAGAGTTAAGCAATTTTAGTAAAATTGGCTGGTGAGGACAATGACATTAAATGTATACAATACCAGAGAAGTAGAAAAACTAAAAAGCAATTGTCCTGTGAGAAAACATTTCCTGTTGGTATTACGACCATAGCTCGACCAGGTAAGCTATGGGTCTCTGAGAGGAGTGAGCAGCTCATGCTCTCAGTCCTGTCAGAACTCACCTTTTTACTTCCTCGTGGAGCTGCTTTCTGGTCCAGTGAGGAACTTTGATGGAGCCGTATAAGAGAAGGTGCTCCTTGGTGGTGAGGTAGCTGAACAGGACGTCGTGCTGCATGCAGACCCCCATGTTCTTCCGCACAGAGTCGAGGTCTGTTTTGATATCTTTTCCATACACAAAGATGGTACCTGCTGAGGCCCCAAACAGCCCAGTTAACATGGAGCTGGAAATGAAGAGATGATCAATTAGGTATGAACCAAGAATTTGAACTCAACATTGGGACTAAATATAGCTCAGTTGTTAGCAAAAAATGTTACAGTGTATCTCCTTAGGTAAGGTCAAGTTATGAAATAAAATGGCATTAAATGGGAACAAAGCAATAAAAATGACTTTTAAGCTTCTAATAATTTAGAGTGTTACATAAACACTACATCATGACAAATCTGATGGTGGTTAAAAATGTTACAGTGTATCTCCTTAGGTAAGGTCAAGTTATGAAATAAAATGGCATTAAATGAGAACAAAGCAATAAAAATGACTTTTAAGCTTCTAATAATTTAGAGTGTTACATAAACACTACATCATGACAAATCTGATGGTGGTTGTGGTGGTGGTGGCTTTTTAATTGCACGTGCACTCTCTCCTTGAGCAAACTCATGTGCTTCTCTGGCATCCCCTAGTATCTATAGGCTGACAAGTCTTGAGTTGATATCTCTAACCTAGACCCCATCACTCAGTTCCAGCCTTGTTCTATACATCGAGTAGACAATGCCACTTCTCCGTGAGATGCCTTACAGTGTCCTCACACTCAACATGTTTAAAACTGGGCTCAAGATCTTTGCCCTCAAACCCACGTCCTCATCCATCTTACCTCTTTCACTGTGTGATAAATTCATACACTGGTTGCACAAGCCTGGAATCCAGAAGTCGTTTCTACACCCTCCTCCTGTCTATGGCTCCTTAGACCACCCACATCTCTCCATTTTCATAGTCGCCACCACAGGGCCAATTACCATCACCACTCACCTAATGCATCTCTCCAAGCTCGTACCTCCACTTCCCACATGCTCTTTGGTCATCTCCAGTCCCTTTCCTACACTGTGACTACAGTATTCTCACCTAGATAATTCCCCACCATCTTTCAGATGGTTAGTAAACTGGGCAATCATGTGTATTTATATTTATCCACTGTAACGTAAGACCTATGAGGGCAGGGGAAAGACCCGTTTTCTCACCACAACGTCTCAGTACGTAACCAGTGCCTTGAAGCTAATACTTGTATATTAAACAGGGAATCGGTACAATATGCGATTTTCCCATAAAAACACATTGAAAAACAAATTGCGTGATTCCTTCTTTATGTTAAAGGTTTTTATTTAGAACAATGAAATGGGGCATTCCCAGCTAAAATTGCAGCCTCTTCAAAAGCCTTCTAAATGCCTTTTGTTCATTGGTCTTTTGTTGCCTATTAGAGATCTTGCCTTTTGAGCATTGTATTCTCACTAGAAAGCCAACTCTGGCTTTAAACAAGGCGTGCACAAGACAGAGGATATATGTTCACTCATTTTATGACCTTCCTTTGTCCCCTTTTATTCCCCCACCCAAAATTAATTTTAATATGATTTGGCAGTCACTGAGCTTACTCATGATGATACAAAACGGGATACGCAGCCACTGACATTTTTTCTCGAACAAGGGCTAGAATGCCAACAGCTGACTCAGCAGGTAAGTGGACAGGGAGCATTGGCGGAAAATCATACACACACAAAAAAATTCAAAGTAATGTCACTTTTAGAGCATTTGAATCTCTTCTTCATTCTGACACAGGAAAATGCTACTTCAGTGAACAGTGAGAATGAACAGCACACGTACTGCTCCTGGCCTTTTTGATCTATATCTGATCGCTGGTGATTCTTTTGTATCTTTATGATCCAAGGCCAGGGTTTCCTGTGATGGGGCAACTGGGGCTGAGTGTGTTTATAACAGGATGTGCAGACTCAAGCTTATACATGGCCCAGGACAGAAATGCAAATAAATGAAACAGACTGGGTGTATGAGGCAGTACAGATTGGTGGAGACCAGGGATGAACCAGAAAGCAGATGTTCCCTTTGAAAGAACAGTCACTAATGAGCCCCCACTAATAGTCTCTAGCTAAGAATGCAGACTCAGTATTGCAGAACTTCCTAAGAGAAGTTCTTAGGAAGTTCTTCTTAGGAAGAACTCCTAGAACTTATGTAAGAGAAGCCAAGAATATTTATTTTTATTTTTTGTTTTTGTTTTGGTGGCTGGCTGGTACAGGGATCAAACCCTTGACCTTGGTGTTATCAACACTGTGCTCTAAGCAACTGAGCTAACCAGGCAGCTCCAAGAAAATTTATTTTTATTAGGAAAATTTCCATTTTTAAATATTGTCCCTGAATTTAAAAATCTAAGAAGTACTGGGTGAGCCAACACTAGGTGGACCAAATAAACCTGTCATCTGTTGGACCCGACCTGGCCTTTGAGTTTATAGTTTAGGACCTCTGATTTAGACACCATTCTATAGCATACCGGTTGAACCATCTTACTCAATCTGGGAAATGTAGTAATTTTATTTTTTACAAAAGAGGTTAGTTCATGGGAAAAAAACCCTGTAATTTTTATAATATGCTTTCGTAACAATAAGTGTTGAAAAATAACATACATGGTAGTAGTTTTCCCAGCTCCATTGGGTCCCAGCAATGAAGTAATATGCCCTTCATAAAAGTTTAGATTGAGGTTATCAACAGCGACTTTTGAGCTATAGATCTTTGTGACCCCGTGCAGGGCAACCCCAACTGTGAGATCTTTAGGTTCAGGCTCAATGTTGGAGGGAAACAAATATTCAGGACCTAGAGAGAAATCAAGGGAAGAGTCATAAGCTCACAAATAAGAAAATGCACCTATGATTAGACTTTCCTTAATTAAATATTGAAGACTATAAAAATACAACCCTCTAAGAAAAAAAAAACCAAAATGATTTATAGTCTTCATTCAGCCTCCTCACTTGGTTACAGAATGAATGAGAGTGGGGAACCACCTACTCTAAGGTTTATATCACCCTTTTCTGTTGGAAAAAGCAGTCTCAGAGTAGTGTCATAATTACGAATTCTCCATTATTCAACAGATCTCAAATATTCGAAAGATAAGTCTGAGGCTTGATCCTCTGCACGGAATGATACCAATTTAGAGTAAATGTCTACAAGTTGTGATTTCACAATGACAAGGCTAGCTCAGATCTGTGATTTGTAGGACCTGGTTCACTAATTACTATCTACACCTCCTTTAGGTATCATAAAAGGACCACTTATATGGGTCGTACTTACTTTATAGAGATGACACTACTCACCTAATATCAGTAAGACATGAGCTTTGAACTATTTTTCTAGTATTACTGATGGGTTATGCTAAATTACCCATACTTGTTACTTGGTTACTCCTTATGACTAGTGACAGATGGCTGGAGTTAGGGGTGCAGACCATGGCCAAGGAACAAAATTTGTCTCTGTGTGAATCTAACTGGACCACAAAGGGATCTGCAATCTTGGCCTAATTAGTACCATATGCTAACTAGCTGAGCTAATGAGCCCAGAAAAGGCCACAATTTAATCCTCATGAGAGTCCAAACACATGTGTGTAGACATATTCATCCCTGACTAAAATGATGATAATTTTGCCATTTAGAAAAACATAATTAAAACTACTGGTCATATAGTTTTTATACAATTTTTTTCGTAAAAATGATGTTGTTGACCTACTTGTCTTACTGGCAGATGGGTTGGTGTTCTGCATCATGATATTAGTAAACATAAGGCCGTTGCTTTTCTCATGCTTCACCTCTGCACATCCAGATCGTTCCTTCCAATAGGAAGGAAGGATTGGGAAATACCAAGGAGCTGCCATACCGTATGTCCCTGCAGTAAAAATGTATTAGGAAAAGTGATTATTAATTGATTGTTAACATTAAGCATCAGAAACTAAATAATAAAATATGGTTCAGGAAGTAGTTTCATTTTTTTGATGCTATATAAAACTAAAGGGTGGTATCAGTTTCTAAAAGTAAAAAAGATAACCTTTTTTTTTCTTGTTTTTGTTTTTTTAAACAGCTTCATTGAGGTATAATTACATACCATAAAACTTACCCATTGTAAGTGTACAGTTGGATGATTTTTAGTAAATTTATAAAGTCATGCAACCATCACCACAATCCACTCTTACAACATTTCTATAATATACATGCCAAAAAATTCTCACACCCATCTGTAGACAATCCCTGCTCTCACCCCAAGTCCTAGGCAATCACTGACCTGTTTTCTGTCTCTACATATTTGTCTTTTATAGAAGCCTTATAAAATTCTCACACCCATCTGTAGACAATCCCTGCTCTCACCCCAAGTCCTAGGCAATCACTGAGCTGTTTTCTGTCTCTACATATTTGTCTTTTATAGAAACCTTATGTAAATGAAATCACACTCCTTTATTCATTTACAGCATCAAAAAGTGTACAAATATAAGTAAGGCTTAATGGGAAAACATCTCAGCATGTTAGAAGGAAGGACTGCTTGAGACCTGGAAGGAGGAACCCAACTTGTCTTCTTCCACGAAAACCTAGTAAATTCTCCTTAGAATTAGGAGATTTGGTTTCTGCCTCATAATATCTCACACTCCTGTTTGGAAAGACTGGATTGTTTTGACACTATTCCATGCTTCTTAATTCACTCCATCTTTTAAGGGCATATCAAAGAGGAAATTCAGCAGTACATTGTCACATTCTGAAAAATTTTGGTTAGTTTTGGGATTTTAGTATTTCTTTTTGAAGATTACATGTGGCAAATCAAATATTAGAACATATATATTAGCTGACTTATAATAATGGCAGCCAAAAAAGCATATACCTGTGGGAAGCATGTTCATACCTGGGAAAACGTTCCTGACATACCAAGCAATAAGGAAATAGATGAAAGAGTCAGCTAGGATTAGACAGCACAGCCAGCCAAATGAGGTGGTATCATCCTGAACTGGGGAGCTGTACATATTGTCCCACTGAAGACCTAAAGGTGGACACAAATATTTATTCTCTGTGACACATATCACAGTTGTGAAAGATAAAATCCAGTTTTAAATAAAGGGAACCTACCAATGCCCTGTTCTTCGTATCGTGCAATGTATTGGCTTGCATAACTGAATGCTGTTGGAGACAGCAGGCTCTGAAAGGAAAATGAACAGCAATGACAGTTCTTGTAAATTTCCTACACTTCACCCAGAGGGATCTTAAAATACTTAAAATTTTGGACATTTGTATAGACAAAATTGATGCTTATTCTCTAAGCATATTTGAAAATATAGAGGTCCCTTGCCAAGCATGCTACAATTCGGAAAGAAAAATAGAGAGAATAGCAGAACACAGTAATGGGAAAGTTACAACTTGGAAAATATTTGTTAAAAATCCAAAATATATATATAAATTTATTAAATGTCGTTTAGCAATTTATAAAATAGGTAATTACAGGGTAACGTAGTGTTAAAGACTAAAATTAAATGAAAACATTAGGGGCCAGAAAATGTTTTCACTGCATAAATTTATTTCAAGTAATAGTAGAATTATAAATAAAAATATGCTAAAATATCAATTGATTGAACACTGATAACTGCAAAACAAATTACAGATTTAAATTTTGTTTAAACCCAAAATAGTCAGTTCTAGGTGAAAGTTATTCATCACTCTTTATTTCCATAAACAGCAGAGTTTTAATATGATGAGATATGCTTCTGCTTTTCACATTTCAAAGTCAGTAATCTTAACGCCTTCATTAAAATTCTTAAATTAATTTAGTGCTTTTGAAATGAAAAGCCAGAAAAGGATTCAAAGTTGATTATATGCTGTCAGTGCATTTGTCTTTATGCCTCTAAGCTATGTTATCTATCATGAAAACCATGAGAATTATTCATATATGAGAATAATTCCAGTACTAGAGGCTCCAAGATGTTTAAAGAATTGGACCAGAGAGAAGTCAGAATTCTTGATGGTCTCTGAAACACAATATATTACATCTTAACTGTCCTTTCTTCAGGAACCTTCTTAACAGCATCACATATTATGATTTTGGAAGCTGTGGGGAAAAGATTTCTTTTTCATTGTATTATGATTCTATAATATACGACAGTGTCAAAAAAAACTATCATTAGGGCAATTAAACTTATTTTGCTATCACTAAATTTCTTAATTTAGATAAGTGAACTTGCAGTTCAAGAGTCTTAAAAAAAAGGGGGGATCCATCCATCTCCCTCACTGGCCATTCCGACCGTTGACTTACCATGAATACTTTCACTACATAGCTCAACTCATCCTCAACTGTAACCAGAACAATAAATGGAAAAAAAGCAATGATGTAGATGAGGCTTCCGATCAGAGCTGCAATGTTGGTGTTGTTGAAGAAGACACTGATAAGATAGCTCATGGCAATAACTGAGAAGCTGTAGTCCGAAAAATACAGGAACAAAATGAACCCATTTGTTTTAGGAAGAATATTGCCAAACTTGAGTATAACGATGAGGATCATGATGGTAACCAGTAAAAATCCAACACTCTCTATAAGCCAGGCAAAAAAATGGCTGCAAGAGTTCACACCCATCATCTTCATGTACTGTAAGAAGGAAAAAGTGTTAGCTGCTTCTTATGCTGGTATACTCCTAAAATAACAATGATTCCTGTATCATGCCAAGATGTCTATGAGATTCTCCATACATATATATATATGTATGTATATATATATATATACACATATATATATATATAGAACCAGGCATTTTAAAGGTTCACATAAATCAAGTATTTGTTCATACTTGCTATGTGAAATATTCGTATTTATACCAGTCCATCTTAGACTGTGTGCTCCCAGAGTGCTGCAATATAATGAATGACTTAGATGGTTAGGTTCCTTTTTTTTTTTTTTTTAAATTACTGTTCCTAACTAATTACTAGTATCTAGTTAATGTCTCCAAATTGAACTAATTTAGAATAGATCATCAAATTTATGATATCCCCTGCAGAATTTTCCAACATCGATTTGATATTTGTGCAGGCATGAATATTTCAAACTGGTGAAAAACCATAATTTAACTGCCAGTTCAATGTAGGCACTGAGATAATAAAAATTCTTAATTTTTTCCCCAAACTTTAATGAACAACACAATCAGTACTCTTGATTCCTGAGAGAAATAGAATAAACCCAATTCCTAAGAATTTAAAATACGGAAACTTTGGAGTGAGACCTTCTGCCTTTAGCTATAGCTCTCCCATCTTTTAACACTCACTGAATTACCAAACTCACATATCTAGGGAGTCTAGGTCAGGTTTGTCCAACTTTTTTTCCAAAAAGACATTAATGCACCCATAATGAACCTATGTATCTGAGATACTGTATACCTCTCTCTCAATTGATGTTCTTTGAAACTCAGTGATATTCCCAGAGGCCAAGGCACCCATGAGGCAGAAAAAATACACCTGCATGATCCGTTTGTGCACTAACTTAAAAGGATTCTGAAAGACCTAGAATCCCCTGGACCTTGCTTGTCTTAAATTTGTTGACATGTTGTACTATAGGGGAATCTGGATATCCTGGTTTCTAGTTTTAACAATTCATGAATAATTTGAGCTTACAAACCTAATATTCCAATAAAAAAGAGAACAAAAGAAATGCTCTGCTAACAGCTTTATAATACAACATTTTTTGCATAACTAAGGATTTTCAATGCCCTTCCCCACCTCCCACCCCAGTCCCTTAAACCTAACTTGCCTAAGAAAATAAAGAAGGCACTGGATCTTTTGCTCTAAAAGCAAAATAGTGTCTTTTACTTTTTTGCCTTTGCAACTTATTGCATTTTGATAATTCTGCTGCTCCTGTTGTTGCCATGGAAACAGCTACTTGACTGCTAACAGTCTAAGCTGTGGGCCTTAAGCTAATCATCACTGAGAAAAAGCCTGCAACTTTTTCTCTTAACTTTGCCCTCTTCCTTGCCTTCTTCTCTCCCTGCTGTTTTTCTCCTCCTAGGACCTGTCACCCTTTGCAGTAGAGACTCAGCCTATGTTTCCATAGGAATAGAAGTTTCGGGCAAGGTGAAAAATTAGCACGGAACAAAGTTCACTATGGAAAGTCTCCCTCAATGGCTACATATGCTATAATTGAGAACAAAATTATATTTTGGTGTGAAAAAAGACCTCACAGATCTTATTCCAGAAGTTCATTACTTGTTACCCACCCCATCTGAGAAAACTACTGTGTCGTGTTTGACGACTGCATTTCAGAAATATGCACCTGTCCAATATGCTTATATGTTATTATTTGCCTTTCCTGCTAGTTGTATTTTGAGGTTTTTACTGAGTTTATGCCTACTTGAATATAATTAAGTGGGGAGTTATGGAACCCATAAAACTACTTGCAAAGCCAATCTTCATCATTTTATGTGGCCTATACAAATAATATTTCCCCCCAAACAGCAATGTATGGCAGTAGGGGACAATGTCAATATATTTCACAAGCTGTACATAAAATATCTAGGACATATCAAGGCCATGAAATAAAGCTGATGTCGTGTGTACAAACTGACAATCGATAGCTGTAGCATAAACTATTTCTATATCCAAAATAGCCTCCATTCATAGACTTGCTAAAAGATAATTTGGCAAGCTTGAAGACCGGGACTAAAGGTGTTTATCACTGTAATTCTGAAATTTTTCAGACTCAAGATCAGATTCCTATTCCCAAGAGTTGATAAAAGTTGGAGACGCATCATTTTCCTTTTTATTGAAACAGACTGAGTTAGGTGCTTCCAAAAGTATTCACTATTTAACACTTTATCATGAAACTTCAGTTTAAAACCTCAGGATTTTATGCCATGAGGAGAACAACTGCTATTCATAAAGAGAAAGAGCAATGAGAGTATATGTCAACCATAAATTATCCAGATTCACTGCCAACTTCATTGTAATAAACAAGACCAAACTTGCTGATGAGAACAGAGAACGGCTGGCTATGTTTTTTTGGATGCTGTTACTTCCTCCTAAAAGTGACAGATGTCAAGCACCAGCTTTGTGATCAAAGAGTCACTTGTCTCAGCCCTCCCAAACCTGCCAGAGCAATTCATCAATATCTGATAACCTGTAGTTCAAGGAAAACCCTCTGCACAGTGGTCAAAGTCTCCCCAGATTGTAGCAGAGAATAAAAAGAGATGCTGTAAGATTTTGGATAAATACGTTGCCACTTTCTTGAGAAGCTTACGCACTGGGGTTGACATACTGTCAAGAAAAAAAGTCATAGCTATTCTTATATTTATTTGATAGCAATTTCTTCACTCAACTCAGCAAGTAAGTCAAGGACGAATTCAAAAGGAATGATATTTTCTACCTCAAATTTTACAATTCTCTTAATAATATATATATTATTATATATATACAATTCTCTTAGCGATATATACATTAATATTAAGAGGAATACAGGAACAAGATGAACCCACCGTACAGAGAAGTTACCATTATCATCCTCATTTTACTGATGAGGACATGGAGGGATAGAGAGATCAAGTAACTTGCTTAAATCCCAAGACTAGTAAGAGGGAGAGCTGGGATTCGATCTTGGTAAATTGTAATTACTTATTTCCTGTCATAACAACATGAGGAAGAATCTGTGACTTGTATCTTGTGAGGAAAAATAATCAATTGCATAGAAGCACTGGCAAGTACAAGTGGACTAACAGGTTACTCTAACCTCATTATTTCAGATTTTCAGGCAGGCCTTGTAATAATTATTGAGCCCCAGTTTTGCAATGTTTCAGCTTTCTATTCACTCCATGAATGAGTGTAAAGAACTCACTATGGGATGTGTAGATAAAATAATATCTATTCAAATACAAGCTAAAAACCACACAATGCTTTATAACATAAATTGTAAAAAGAAGTATGGTATTTTGAATTTGGGGTTAATGATGAAGAACATGCCCAGGAAGAGATCATGCTTTACACTCCTTGTCCTGTCTTCCATTGTTATATTGTTATTAACCCGATCAGTAGCACAACATGAAATTCTTAGTTTCTATAAATCAAGAATCAGTGAGAAATGGAGAAGAAAATTGAAAGAGACAAGGTATACTGGAAGGAAAATTTTCTTTGTGAGCACCAAAATAAGTCATATGTCTATGTCTGTGTTTATGTCTATGTCTATATTTATACCTGGACTCATTTAGTTACCATGCCAACCATCTTCCTGCCTTCATAGTTATTATTATTATTATTTAAACTTCCTCTGTTAGATCCTAAGTCCTATAGGTAATTTCTTAGGCAAAAGTTACACTCAGGATCATAATTGTACTCATACTTCACTCAGAATTATTCAGATTTTGTTTTTCAGAAGCACTATCAAATAACTTTTACGGCACTTTCTGAGAAAACAAAATATTGTCTTATCAGCTGCCTCTGTGATTCAAAAGTAAAATGTTTTTCTTTCTATCTAATTTACAAGGTATGCGTTAGGCTTTCTGAGTTTGTATAGCTATGACAGAAATCATAGTGATTAATTGTTCTGTAAATAGTACTTATTTGTAATAAGAAGAAATTCTCAACGTACCTCATGAAGCCGGAGGTCTTTCTCATAAACAAGCTTTTTTACAAAAGCAGCTATAAATACAACCCAGGCAACCATGAGCACGATGGGAAGAGAGTAAGAGACACTGGTTAGGAAGCTGTAAAACAAAAACAAAAGGATTCAGTGGCCAAAATGAAAGTCACACTTGCACATTACGATATATAAAGAACACACTCCCTGTTGCATTGAAATTATACTCCTATTTTGAAATTGAGGATAATCATAAACTGTGCCCATTATTTATGAGGTGTGAAGCTGACTTGAGTGGGCCCTATGATTTTCTTGCTGTACTGCTGCAAGAGTGAAAAAACAGCTCTAGGCTGTTAGATTAAATTGCCATACTATTTAAATTGGGTTTGAGTATGTTCTGTCCAGGAAAATGATTATTATATAGATACAAATGTAAGGCTCAAAACCCTGCATCTAAACTAAATTCTTATCTAAAAGGCAGATTTAAAATTAGATGATGATTAGTTTATCTAACGAAAAGGTATATCTTTCAAAATTACTATATTTATTATCAGGAAATTCATAGTTATTATTAAACTAAGTTTTCCAACATGAAATAAAATAAGACCCAAAGCATTTGTTTAAAATGTAGACAAAGAACTTGGATCCCTCAAAATAATGCTCCAGGAGATGTTTCAAAACAGGTAGAGAAAGGTCTTTTCTGATAATTTGCTAAACTAAAGGGTCCCTGGAAGCCTTCATCAAGCCCCAGATGTATTCCTGAGTGGCCTGCCCACAATAGCAGAAAGTTCAAATGCACTTGTTCTCAAAGTTGACCGTGCACTAGAAGAACCTGAAGAGCTTATTAAAATACAGATTTCAGGGCCCCATCCACAAGCTTCTGATTTATTATATCTGGGGTGGGGCCAGGAATTTCTATTTTAAACAATTCCCCAGTGATGCTAATGCTGCTGGTCCAGGGACCATACTTTAAGCGCCATAGTTCTGACAATTGCTACCCTTCTATAGGCTGAGGCAAAGGCAGGAGTTTTCAATGAGAGACATGCTAAATTGATCTGTTTTGCCTATTGGGCTCCATTGAAGCTTTCACTTGGAGAAAGGGCCCAAGGCCATTTCTTTTTTAATCTATAAAGATAAGGAATTAACCTCCAAGTTCCCCAAGAGAAATGCAAATATTAATGGAACATGACATCACTATCATTCAATATCATTTTAGCTGTTTAGCATGCAGAAGCATATCACCATCAGAGAGATGAGGTGTTTTTTGGTGGGAGAGAGTGAAAATTGGGGCCATATCCAATTTTTTTGTTTCCTGGGAAATGATCTGGCATGGAGTAGGTATTTAAAGAATACTCGTTAAATGAATTCCATCTTGGTCTAGGTCCAGCATTGATGCTATTTCTGGCTCTAGAATTAGGCAGAGCCCCTCATTCATTAATAACAAGTCTTCTGCAACGTTTCTTCCAAGTGATTGAGTGTTTTAGGTTTGGTCTAGTATAAAGAAGAAAATGCTGGTCTTGTAATCACAAGGACCAGTGTGGTACCAGCTATATAAACTTGGGCAAGTTACTTAACCTTTCTGGATTTCAGTTTTTTCATCTGGGAAGTATGAACAATAATTCCTCCTTCCACTTATGAGGTTGTTGGGTGGAACAAATGAAATAATATATGTGGAAGCACTTTGTATGCAACACAGAGTTTGTATGTGTATATAACGCATTATGATCATAGTCCCATGAAGAATACACAGTGCAGTTACTTTTACTCATTAAAGAAACATCCAGACACCCACCATCCTAAGGACCAAAATTTACAAGGGGAAAAATATGAGAAGGAAAATAGGTGATAATTTTAATTTCACTGAACCCACAGTCTTTACTGTTTGTACAAGCCATTGCAGTTCATACACAGTTCAGGCAGCAAGTCCTCTGACTGGCCTCCACAATAGCCAGCTAATTTCAACAACCCACTGGATGGATTCCTTGTCTGTTTCCCCATATCACTGTTGCACAAAGGGTTATACAACCTCTTCTCATCTATAACTCTTGAAGCAGCCAAGGGAGACAGAAACATTGAAAGAAAGAAAAAAGAAAAGAAAAAAGACAGAACCATCTGAATTGCATATGAATTGCAATAACTGGGTTGGGGAACAAGTGCAATTTCTTTAAAGTAATATTCAGCCTCAAGCTTTTATGTAGGAGGATGAGCCTGAACAACTTAGTGCTCCAACCTTATTTTTTAACTGTGTACAGAGTGGAGGAGCCATTCAGTGCTACTCAATTGGCAGATTTCCTGCACATTCAAATACAATTGTTTAAAAGCAGGATCTTTACATTTTTTGTTCATTTAGCAAAGTCATTTTAGGTAGAGAAGATTCCCAGTGAATGAACTGATAGTACATAAAATAGTTTCAGATAGCACAATATTTATCTTACAGAGTTGATCAATGATGGGGTCAAGATTTCTTTTATCAAAGTTTTTCCTTAAAATTGACCATGTGCTAAAATTTTTATCAAATTTGAGAGTTGGAAGCAATTTTAATATTCTTTTGTTCACTGATACAAAATGGATAAGAAACATCAAAATCATGAAGCTACACACTCGGGTGTGGAGTCCAATTCTCCCAATTCTAGGGCCAGAGTTTCTGGCAAGCTACGGGTTGTGATAAAGGATAGATGGATCATTTGGTAAGCACTTTACCATCATTTTGATAATGATGAGTAGCTACAATGCAGCTGTGCCCTTTACTGTGGACATTTTCCTGGATAGAAGCATATGACAAAGGTTTGGTGGATATTATCCTTTTCATTTGATATATCTAAATAAATGAATGGAAGTGAGTTCTCCAAAAAGTAGTTGACCATTAAAAAGGGCTGAACATGCACAGACTTACTTGTCTTTCATGAAGCAGGGATAAGGAATTGCTTGAACCTGGACTGCTATTTCCTGGGAGTTCCTTCCAGTTTGCAATTCAATGATTGCTCTTTCAATACTATCCTGTAAATAAATAAAAGCCCTGCCATAGATCTGGTTGTTTGATGGAGAATTGTGTGGCCCTGGGGCCCAAATCTTGGTTCTTATGCTTCTTGTGGTCTGTGCGGTCTTGAGACTCATGCGGATGGTATATTTTATGACAGGAGGAAGAAAGACATTTTCAGAGTCATAGCCTCTGTGCTGGCTTCTGTTAGAAGGAAGCTTAAAAATAACACCTAAAAATAAAATGGCAACAATAGCAGAAAGGTTATTTTAGAGTTGACATTATTCATTGTTTGGAGGGTACACATAGGGGCAGCCAATCAGTCAATTGAGTTAGTAATCTGACAGAAGGTTCAGGCTTCTAATTTACAGAAAAGATGGTTAATTGGAGGTGTCAACCTCAGAGATTCAAAGCTGGAGTTTAAGAATATAATCACAAACTAAGTGGACAGATTAAATACATCACTCTAAGCCACTTATTAAAATTTTTAAAAAAACATTTTTAAATGAATAATCTTGACTGATTATGAGAATGAACTCAACTTCACCCTGTAACTCTGTAATCCTTTCCATTCTTAATTTTAACTACACCAACAAAATTAAGATGTATGGTGAAGGTTCCTCATACTTAGACCATCTGGTTGGCTGACTACATGAAAGGAAAGGCTCCCATTTCTAAGAACATCAAAGTGGGGCAGTGACCCCCAGACTATTTTCTGAGTTCTGGATGTAGGAGGTGAGGAAAGAATTTGGCCAATTTTAGTACAAATGGAAGCTCAAACTCTCGTAGAATAACACTTACTTCCAAAGAGTTCATTCCTTTTGTAGAGCCTTTTGGCCTCTCTCTCCATTTCATCTACAGTTTTCTCTGCCTGAATGCGATCATATAATACACAAGAGGAAATATTTACTGTCAGAGAAGATAATGTGTTAAGCTGATCGATGATGTCAATGTTGTTCTCTAATTTCAACCTTAGAATGTCTAAAGAGGCAAAGCAAAAGAGACAAAAAACATAATCTTAATTCTAGTAGTAATGAGACAAAATACTGATTTTGGGGGGGGGGGTAAATGTTAAACATTAAACTATATTATAAATAATGGGAGGCTGTAGAATTTACTCTAAACATATCTAATACTCTAAACCTAGGAAAATGTGCCCAACTATACAAATGTTCATCAAGGAAAATGTTGAGTTAGTTACAAATACAGTATACCCAGGTTCAAAGAAAGATACAAGATAATCTGAAAGTATATTCTGTTATAATTCAATTAACACAGAACTAAGGGTGAATAATTTTTTTTTAAATCTATCTGCCGGTAGTTAGGAAGAAAACTATAAACTAGAGATGAGAGTTTAGAGAAACTAAACAGAAATGTCTGCTTGTTTTTGTACAGGGAATGTGAATGTACAAATTGAAACAAAGGGAAGCTTGTGTAGAGTGTGTAGAGCAAATAAACTGTATTATTTGATAAGCTGTGTTACAGAAGCATCTAAGATACTTGAGAATCTATGCCAAATAGTTGCAACCCTCTAATATTGTTTGATTTAAAGCCTTATGTGAGTTACCTCTATTGACATCTGTATTAATCTAGACAAAATAATCAAGATTTTATTTTAGGTAGTTACTCTGAAAGAAAAGGTATTTAATTGCTCTTCAATTCATGATTCTTTGTGAGGAAATCAACTAGGACAGAGGGTAAATATGAAATTGCAAGTTAACACAAATCATTTGGCCAATTAAATTTTTACTGACTTGATCGTTGTGAATACTGAGAAGGCTGTGAATATCATAAATCCCTCCTTACAGAACCCAAACATGTCTCTTACATTGTCCAAAATAAGACTAAATTTTGCACAGAGAGCAACTTCTTAATTGCATTTCTCATTAGAATTTAAAGAGAAATACTTCACTTGATGTAGATGTTGGTGGGGGAGGGGTAAATTGTTGTTGAACAGTGGCCACCAGCAGCCACTGGAAATCAACACGACACCATAGGATCTTTTAGAAATGCTGGTAGACAAAAATCACAGAAATGCTTTGGGAAGTCAGTGCCCCCCAAATCTGAGCTATGTAACCTCTTAGATACTAAGTTACATATATGATCACACAATTATCAGGTCTCACTGCTATATTCATTTTAATCTTATTTTACATTCTAAACCTCAATTCCTATTTCAAAAGTTAGAAATAATAAGATTTTTATATGAACTTTGTCATTTATTCCTGATATTTTATCAAATGGTTTCTTACCCAAAGGATACTTTGAGAGAACAAGTCCACCAGTACTTTTCTTTAATCAAACTGGGTTGACTCTCATAAAATGTGTACAGTTATATATAATACAAATGTAGGCATAATTCCTCCCCATTGGTTTACAACCTGAGTCATTTATGTCCCAGCAGTGCCAGGAAAGAGGAGGGGCATTTGCTCTGCTACTGCCAAATTCTGATGCTCTCAGTCCCTTCCTCATACTCATGGTTGCATAGCAACAGTGAATCAGACAGAGCCTGAATTAGATGTCTTGCATCCCTGAGGTCGAAGGTGGGGATGTGGCAGAGGAAATGCATAAGTCCAGACAGCTTCCTTTGATCCTCTGCAGCCTGTTCCTTTTAAATGACCATGAGAGGAGGGCCCAACCTTGAAAACTGATTTAGGTTTATTTTCTTTTGAGTTTCTACATTGCCTTTGTCTTGCTTTTGCTAACTTTATAACCTCTTCCAATTACATTCTGGGTTAGTCAAGCGATACTGAGGCCAGTGGGGAAAAAATGCTAAATGTAGCCAGAAATAAGTCATTTCATCTTCCCTTGTCCCTAAGAACTTACTTTTCATCAAGTTCCAAAAAAAAAAAAAAGGCTCCCTTACTTCTAACAACTGACCTATGATTGAAGAAAAAGCTGCATTTATACGGAGTATATTGCATTATGATTATTGAAACTAACTGCAGACACTGAGTGTCCAAATAATAATTACTACTTTAATTGTACAACTAACTGGAAAGAAGATGATTGGATATATCCAAGGTCTCACTTTTCTTGGAATATGTAGATAGAAACTAAATGCAGAAGAAAAGAAGTTCTCATATGGGACAGTGTTTTTCACATTTCCGACAGGATCAGTGAATAAAAGTTTCTTAAATCTGTACTCACCGAGTTCATCTATCTGTTTCAATAGTTCAACAGCATCAAGTCCCACAGAGAATTTTATAAAAACTTGCACAAAGGGGTTCCTTAGAGTATTCTAACAAATAATAACAGGCAATCAGTTTTAAAACAAGGAAAAAAACATGTTTAATACATGTCTCACTAATAACAGCCAAAAGGAAATGAAGTAACCACCACTGAGCATTATCAATGCACCATCTTGCAAAGGCTTACCTAGAAACCCTTGAGAAAGAAATAGAAGGTGGGAGACTGCTATTGATTTGAAAGGCTGGGTTTTTTTGAATTTGTCTATAGACACAAATTGGTCAGCATGCTAAAGTGGCCATGTATGACCATAATTATCAACATCAGGAAATTATATTCAATTTAACAAGCCTTTTTCCTCATAACTATTACATTATTTATTTTTAACATATGCTAAACCCATGTTGTGGTTCGTGGTTGAATTTTGTTCATTTGAAACAAATAAAAACAACTTTTAAAACTGTGATGTCTACATGGAATTTGACATCACAACTGATGTGTATCCTACTTCCACTACTGCCCAGTTGTGAGGCTTTTAGCAAGCACCCAGCCTTTTGTAGCTTCAGGTTACTCTTCTGTAAGGTAGAGATGAACGACTCATCTCATCAGAAGAGTCAATGTAAATTGTTATATCATTTTGTACTGTAATAAGTGCAGGCATGTAAGCATTGAAAAATAAATTGATGATAAAATTTAAATTATTCTATATTCATGGAAAGACTGAAAAATGTTTTAAAAACATACTGGCTTTAAAATATAAAGGCTTTTATAGCTACCTTCCAAATTGGATGACATAACTTCTATCACCAGAGAAATGCTACTAAGCTGATATTTATTAAGCTTTTACTATGTGCTGGGAACTGTCTTACAGAGTTTAACTTGACTTTCTCACTTAGTTTTCAACAACAACTTGAGGTAAGTACTTTTATCATCTGCAGTTAGTAGATGACAAAGCTAGGACTAAAGAAGTGCTATAAGTTATCCTAACAATACATAATTAATAAGGGCAAAGAGAAAAGCCAAAGGGAGAGAATTCAACTCGATTAATGTTATTCATCTTATGTTCCAATTCATGACCTAGTTTTTACATGAGCTAGGTTTAAGTTGGTTGTCCTTATACAGCACAGTTTGTTACCACTTATTATTCTGTCCTTATTACTAACATCTTTCATTTTATTATCATGGAGATGAATGATTAAGAGTAACATGTATTATTAGAACACATATATAGAACTAATTTGCTAAATTCATAGCTACTGAAGGTTCTAAGAGTAGTTGGTAGCATGTAGACTGATAATAGAGTCCTTTAAAATCTATGTACTAGAAATTAACTTGTGCATTACAGAAAATCTGAATCAGAGCATTACTAACAAAGTGACTTGTAAGTTGCAATTTGGAGATAATCCATTGAACCCTATTTCCAATTGAATCCTATTTCCAATCTCCCATCACTCTTTTACAATCAGTCCTGAAATATATAATACTATTTTAAAATGCTGCCACACACACATGAACTTCACAAGTCCGTGAAGTGGTTATCAATATACTCATTTTAGGGATTCATAAACTGCAGCTCAAGTACTTTAAGTCATTTGCCGAAGGTGGCAAAGACAAGTCTTATGCTAAAAGCTTGAAATTTCAAATTCTGTACACATTTACAGAACCAAATTTTTCCTCAATAATTGAGAATAACAATTTATTTTGTTCTAGAGCAGAATAAAGATACTTCCATTAAAGGATGAACTCTTTATGAGCATGGTAACAGATATTCTAGCAAATTACTGCAGTTTGGAACTATTATGTATAGAGTATCTTCTTTGTTAATTCACCACTTTAACAAAACTTTCTTGAATAAAATAATATGTAGCTTTTTTTTTTCTGTCCACAGAAAAAAATGTTTTAGGAGAAAAGAGCAATCTTGCACTTTGGAAAATACATATGTTAATAAAGTACTATCCAAGTAGACTTTGTTACCTGAAACTCATTGGAAAAGGCCACTTGAAATTAGCATGCTTAAAAGAAGAATACGAATTTAATAGTAAATTGTGGGGAAGATATTTGATAAAAAGCTTATTTTGTACTTACTAAATGTATAAAACATCTATTTTAGAAATTTATTTTATCATTTATAATAAAGCTCAGATTGTAATTGTAGCTATGTGCTCATTGTTAGTCAAAACAGCAACTAAATAAAGCATCTTTTGGGTATAATTTTTCTGACAAAGTTATATCATATAACATTCTTCATTTTATATTTAACTTTCTGAGCATGATCATAAAGAAAGATAAAGAAAGGTGGGGGGGTTGTTTTTTTTTCTTGTTTTTTAAAATTTTTTGCAAAAATATTCTAGGGCTCAATCAATTGCCCAATGCCTCTCTTTGATACACAAGTCATCTCTCTTGAAACTGTTAGGTTGTCATCATTCCTGACAATTTTCTTGCCCCTGATTGATAACTGGGATAACTCTGCTGCTCAATGGTTGGTTGTCAAGAGCTCTGCTTGTGATCAAAACATTCCCTTACATTATTTGCATCATCTTCAAAAAATTATGCATCTTTTACAAGAATTGCAAATTACACTTTTCAACCAACGTGCATTGTTGCACTGTCAAAGCTTTAACCTAAACTAGAGTGAACATGAGGATTGTTTGAGTGAAGCCTAAATTTTGAAGGAGCCAATACATTAGAGCACTTTTTTCAGTAATGATAACTTTTGCTTTATTATATGACTTTGAACTTAAGACACAGATAAAAACTCTAATGAGAACACGTTGTGTACAGTGTGTTAAAATTAATTTGGAATTTATGTTTCCACTAAGAAGCTCCCCAGATTTAATGTTTTCCAATATTTTAGTAATTCTGGTTCAGTTAAGGTAGCAAAACATAATTTAAAGGAGAGAAATAAATTATATAAGCATATTTTTATATCATTTTATTTTTGGAAAACTGATGTACATCACTAGTTATGTTTGAAAATCAACTTGTAAGATGACTTATTTCTGAATTACAGACAGAGGAGATGCAGTTCAAGAGGTAAAGAGTGACTGATCTGTTACCCGTCCCTGGAGGAGAAGCCATTTTAATCAATTGAATATAGATTCTAAATTACTATTTGCCCATTCACATAATGAAAATGATTAAAATCTCAAAGAATCATAATTCCTACTTAGGTGAATGACAGAACCATATCATACCTGGAGCATTGGAATTGCCTGGTTTAACAGGTGGAAGGAATTCATGAAAAGTGGTGACTTATCCATCCACTCTTGAGATTTTTCTCTTAATTCTGCCAGCTGCCTCAGAGTTGCATTGGACTTAAAAACAAAGAAACAAAAGAGATCTGGTCTATTAGTATTCTTGCTGTATTTCAAAAAGATTTCTTAAGGTTGTTTTGTTACATAACTTTAAAAAATAGTTCTAAGAGGTAGAGTTAGTAAAAAAATATTGTCAGAAAATTCCCACATAGTCAAAAGTTTTAAATGACATCTTTATGGTCAAGATTATTTATAAAAATTCTGGAAAATTTAGGGTTGGTTTCATGTTCATGGTGAATTTATAGCCAAAATGAAAGCATATCTGCTGGAGTTCTCATAAGGTTTTCAGTTTTACCAATGAGACACTTTACTACTAAAGAAACATCCTAGTTGAAGGGTATAAGAAGGATATTCTTGTACATTGCTCATGGAAATGGATATATTATAGCCCCTTTTGGAAAGCAATCTGACCACAGCTATCAAAATAAAATGCAATATCCTTTAATCCCTCAATCCTGAACATTCATCTCTTTGAAATAAAAATACCCAATACGTAAAGCCATAAGCACAAGACCATTTGTTGCCACATTGTTTACATTGGAAAATAAAAACATAAACAGACACTGGAAACAAAAATGAATGCCCAACAATTAAGGATTGGATGAGTAAATTCCATACTACAAAAAAATTTGCAATCTTCAAAAAGAATGAGCTGAACTATACATATTGATTTGAAAGAATTTACACAATGTATTCTTGTGTGAGAAAAACAATATGTAGAAAACTACTGTAATGCAATCTCATTTTAAAAATGCAAACAATGACCTAAGAACTATGAATGTGAATATAAATATAGTATAGTAATTTATAAAGAATTAGAGGAATGTTAGCAATTTACAAAAAGATGCATATTTCAATGCTAACATACATCAGTTTACATAAAGGGAACAACAGGATCAATAGAGGAGAAAAAGAGAGGTGAGAGCCAAGCATAAAAGGGAAAGAAAAAGACTGCAATTAGAAAATAAGCATGTATATGACTTGAGGTATGCAACATTATTAGAGATATATAGTCAATAAAGCAAATAAGGTACTCAATCACAAATAATAAAAGCAAAGAACATTCAGTGTAGACCCCCTGTCCATTTTTATATAGATCTAATTAAAAATAATATTATCCTCACATAAACTATAGTTTAATGACCAAGTAATGGTGAAGCAGAGATTTTTTTTTTGTTCACTTTCATTCTATCATTTTAAAAGTACGTTTATAATTCAAATCATTAAATCCCAGTTTAAAAGTGACATGGAAATGCTGTTATGGTTAAATGAGACAGAAAATCTTATACAATAAGTATACTTAATACTAATAATGTTGTCTTTCTCAACATCTATCTTCTATATAAACACGAAATGTTAAATAATACAACCAAATATGAAGCCAACAATCTACACTTTAGGGATTGTTTTTTTCACACAGTATTATTTTTTCTAGCGTGATCATTTTTACATACTTTGAAAGTCAGATATCAGTTGTAGAAAAATTTTGTGCATTTTGAGATAAATTGAAAAAAATCTGAGGTCTTGCTTCAACTAACCTCATTCTCAAGTGGCAACATGGTGCACTTCCCTTTGAAGGGCTACAACCCAATTTACATTGCTCACATATATTCAGAGCAGAGGTTGAGAATTAGTAAGTTTCAGAAAGCCAAAGATAATAATAACCATAGGTAAGATATAAAGAAATCAGAGTCAGTGAAAGTAAATTTGAAAGTTTGACTACTTTAAAATTATCTTAATATTCAAAATAGAAAATCTGAGTTATAAAGGTCAAACCTTTTCCATTACTGCCTTTGTAATCGGGTTATAGGGTGCATATAAAATCTTTCCCAACAACATAGGTTTCAAGAAAGCCCAAATCACAGGTCCAGCAGGCATGTTAATGATGTCTTTATAAAGGGAGAAGCAAAATGGGGCTGGAAGGAAAAAGTGAAATAAAACCATTTATTAGATGTATTTCAAATTTATTTCACATGGTAAATTGATATAGATTATTATTATCACACATGAAAATACATGACGTAGAACTTCCTATATTATTAATAGATATGAGGCATCTGGTATCAAAATAAGAAAGCATAGTAATAAATCATTTTTAGTGTAAAATTTAACCCAATAAGCCAGTCCAGATTAAGTGATGGCATTTTACCAAGAGGAGATATAAAGATTGAAAACCACATTTCAAAATTGTTTCCGACAGATCTATTTCACCAGCATTTAATTTTACAAAATATGCAAAAACCTGCTACTGGGATAATACCAAATACATAAGAGCTGTTCAGTAAATGTTTGTTGAATGAATAAAAAGATGAATAACTGAGTCAGTACAATTGCTATACTAATCATCCATCTATTATTTGGAAGAGCTCTGCTGATCACATTTTACATCTCAAAGTTTATAGATCAAGTAAACAGCTTTGATGTGCCATTAAACATTTATAGTTCTGCTACACTCATGCAGCTCTACCATGTGTGCTATAAATTTCTAATTCTAGATGGTTAAGAAAAAATATCAACCCAAACAGATTTAGGGCAAGTTTTTGTATTACCTACTGACAAAGAAGGCAGAGTTATGACTGACAAATTCTAAGTGTAGTGTCATGGTTAAAAAGGTAAGCTTTGCAGCAAACTGCCTTGGTTCAAATAACAGCTGTGATACTTCCAAGTTGAATAACCTTGGCCAGGTTACGTAGGCTCCTTGTACCTCATTTCCCCCTACTAAGATGAGAATATAGTAGTACTTACCCCACAGGGTTGCTGTGAAGAGAGCATGAGATAATATACATGACATGCTTGACATGTGGCAGGAGCTATGTATTTTCTATTTCTATTTTTCAGGAAAATTAATAGTTTGTTTATCATGAAAAGCTAAGGCACAGTTCTTGTTGTCATTAAGAACCATTATGCTTATTTTGAAGTATACTCACTGGTATGTATGGGAATTCCATATTTTGAAGCAATTTGCTCTTTACTTAATTTATAAGTCAAAAAGTCCTTGGTGTGGTTGCCTTTTGGCCTCTGGGAAGAGGGCAGCATGGCAGTTAAGTATTCAGTGGTAATTCCTTGAGAACATAAGGCTTGGGAGATTGTACTGAATGACCCTTGGGGTGTGTTCATTCGGTTGCTTCTGTACATTGCCTGTGAGACAAAAATCCTCTATTTATTAACACTATATGAGCTATCCAAGCTACTGAAAACAATATAGAAAGAAAACTTGATAATTTTTGGAGTATCCTTATAGTTTCCATAATTCCTTTAAAATGTGTATCCCACATGTAAACACAGAATGATAAACTTTACCAATGTTTAAGTGGCCAAAACGTTGCCAGAGTAGAGGAGTTTTCCTGTAGGTGATTTTTTTCAGCATACTAAACTGGTTGCTGAATGTATTATAAACTAATCTTAAATAAAAGTTTCTATGACAGAAGGAATTTTTCAACAAGAACATTACTGGGGACTTTTCTACCTGTGTTAATGGAACACTTCTGGGCAGATGCATTTGTTTTAGGGATCTCATTTTGTCTAGCAGTGGATGTGTGCCGGAAGCCATCTGATTGAGAATCTCTTTCAGCCTCATGAAGACTTCTATCATTTTTTCCACTGGCTTTTGATCCTCCCTAGGGAAAAACACCTAACAGAAACAGAATAAAAATAAATGATGTATGTGGAGAGACTGAAACCTTCATGCATTGTTGGTAGAATGTAAAAAGATACAGCCACTTTGGAAAACATTTTCAAAGTTAATTAGTTAAACATACGTTTACCATACAACCCTAGATATTTACCCCCCCAAAAAGTGAAAACGTGTCTACACAAAGATTTGCTTGTGAATATTCACAGCAGCATTATTCGCAATAACCAAAAGTGGAAACAGTACAGGTGAATGAATAAACAAAATGCATATTGTTAAAATAGAATACTATGTGGCAATAAAAATAAATGAAATACTGATATATATTAAAACACGTATGAAACTCAAAAACATCGTACTAAGTGAAAGAAGATAGACACAAAAACCACTATTATATGATCCAATTTATATGAAATGCCTAACAAAGGCAAATCTGTACATAGAAAAAATAAATTAGAGGTTGCCTGGGCTTGAGATTGGAGTAAGTAGTACTGCAAATGGACACGACGTTTCCTTTTAGAGTGACAGGAATGTTCTAAAGTTAGGTTCTGGTAACAGTTGCACAGTTCTAAACATTTACTAAAAAATCATTAAATTGTATGCTTCAGGGGCTGGCTCGGTAGCGCACTGCTACAGTGCGCCGCTTGGGAGCGTGCTGGCGCTCCCGCCGAGGGTTCGGATCCCACATACAGACCGGTTCCCGCTCACTGGCTGAGCGAGGTGTGGGAGCAACACCGAGGGTTGCGATCCCGTTGCCGGTCCCGGTCCAGTACGGGCGTGACACTGAGGGTTGCGATCCGTTGCCGGACACGAAAAAAGACAAAAAGGAAAAAAAAAAAAAAAGAAATTGTATGCTTCAGGGGCTGGCTCGGTAGCGCACTGCTACAGTGCGCCGCTTGGGAGCGTGCTGGCGCTCCCGCCGAGGGTTCGGATCCCACATACAGACCGGTTCCCGCTCACTGGCTGAGCGAGGTGTGGGAGCAACACCGAGGGTTGCGATCCCGTTGCCGGTCCCGGTCCAGTACGGGCGTGACACTGAGGGTTGCGATCCGTTGCCGGACACGAAAAAAGACAAAAAGGAAAAAAAAAAAAAAAAAAAAAGAAATTGTATGCTTCAACAAGAAATGTCAGCCATGTTGCTTCTGGTTGTTCTTGTTTTAAAGAGAAAATACATTTTTTCAGTTTTTTTAAGAACATGAAAATATTTTTTACCTAAGTATAGATTTGGATGAAAATAGGTGTTTAATTTACCTACGTTTATTCTTTTCTTTCATTAATTTATTACATTAGTACTTATAGAGCATCTACTTATTACAAGATTGAGTCAGTGCTGACTTTTTACTAAACCTCCTTAATAATGACCATTTATTTTCTTCTACTGGGTAAGTAATAGTAACCTCTATCTAAATTGAAGAAAACACAAACGTTTTTTTTGAGGACTCCCCAAAAACCCTATTTTTTAACTTAAAAAAATAAACTAAACTTGGTTCTAATCTTTATTTTTAGCCTTCCAAATTAATGCTGTTTATTGTAAAAAAAAATTCATTTTATTTCATACTTCTGAAATACAACATTTGTATTTCAAAGTAACAGTATACATGAAATTTAATTCCTGGTCTTGCACACATAAACTGAGAGGTAATAAGGCAATAATATTAGTTTCCTCATCTATAATATGTGCAAAATTACAATGTATGCTGTCTAAGGTCCAATTTAGCTCTAAAGTAATGCTATAATTCCAAAATCTGTATAAATGGGACTCATCCCTTTTAGTATCAGAGAACATACATGTGTAATTAAATATTTTCACACTAAGTCATGAGTATAACTATATTTCACCAACAGCAACTTGCCTTGTATGTGAAGTTGTAAATGTCTAAGTAGTGCAGAAGAGTGAGTCCAATGAGGTAAGACTGATGGGATCGCTCTGAGAGAGGCAGGCTGCAGAATTCCTTCATCGCATCTTCCAGTTTGGGATTGGTGATATTAGTATCACAAGACTGCAACCAGAATACTCGAGAAATAATCTGCAAGTTGGAAGAAGAAAAACATTTTAGCTGTGAATTATCTAAGAGTCATCTGTCTCCATTTTGAGAGGCTCTTTCATATACTCTAAATTATAAAATATGACAAATTATCCTCAAGAATCAAATAACTTTTTATTTAAAATACTAATTACTATTAATAAAACTATAGAGAACCCATACTTCACTGGAAAGCTTAAGAAATGAGATGGAAAAAAAGAGACAGGGAGGCATCTGGGATAACTCTCATATTTCTAGCTCGAACAACAAGGTGAATTATGGTACTAAGAAAAAGTGGTTTGGACTACATTTGGGAGAATACCAGCTGAAGACTCACACTGCCTTTAAAATTTTACTCTTAGTTAATTCAAATTGCACTTCAAAGTTATGATCTTATATAACATACTCTCTGGGTCCAGAGATGTAAAGCAAAAAAAAAAAAAAAAAGCCCCAAATCACGCAATAATAAATCGCCCTTCCTGTACAGTAGCACTTGTACAGACAATGAGGAATGTCTATGAGAAGTAAGATGTCATCTCTATTGCCACCAAGTTGAAATAAAGAGAAAAGCTCATGAAATTCAATATTGAAAAACTTTTCTCTCTTTCTTTTTGAAAGTAAGAAGAATGTACACTCTCCATTTGCATGTTTTTGTTTGCTAAAATGAACTTGTTCTTCAGAAGCCAAAGACCTGGTTGCTGAAATTAGATCTTAGGATCAAATGAGCAAAAGGTGAGATCAAAGGGAGACGGTGAGCAAATATTATTTGCGAGCACAAGAAGAAAAGTTAAGGCAAAGCACTTTTCTTTTTTGTATGGGGGAACTAATTAAAATGACATGAATAAACTTAAATATTGTCCAAAGAAAGTAAAGGCTTTTAAAAAACTTGATCCAATATTGGAGAATAATTGGGCCGTGCTTTGAAATGACACACACTGTCACACGTAAGTTTTGAATGGATGAGACCTTAAGCTCTGCGGCTCCTTTTGAAAATTTCTGTGACACTTCCAGACAATGGACTTGGAAAAGGAATAAAAGATAAGACATTTTGAGTAGAAAACCCTATTATCAGCCTATGAGGAAATGCCATTATTCATTTTCATACCAAAAAATGTTTACTAGAACCACAAACTTAGCCAGAGTCCTCTTGACCACATGTATTGTATATACCATGTCTTGTCTTGGGACTTTCAAAAAGTAAACTGAGTATCTATTATAACTTATTACCCATTTCACTAAAAAAAAATGAATATTTATTTTTACTTTGTTGCAACAAATAGTAAGTGGTCTCCATGCTTTTTTCCCCAATTAGGTTACTGAAGTTTGACTTTGATATTATTACCGAAGCTGCAAATTTACCTCAGACAATGTGATTGTGATAGTTAATGTGATTCTTTATTGATGGCACCAATTATTTAAGAAAGCCATCTGAGGGTAGAAGAAGGAGAGAATGAAGGAGGCAAAGTGTTATGGGTTAAATGTGTCATCCCAAAATTTCACGTTAGAAATTTAATCCTCACTGTAACAGTGTTTTGAGGATGGGAAATCCAATTATGATATTTGAATAGTGGAGTCTTTAAGAGGCGATTCAATTATGAGGACCATGCCCTAGTAAATGGGTTGGTCCATTCGTGAAGTAATGGGTTGATGGTTTAAGGGGTGGTCATGGGTATGGTTCTGATGGCTTAGGAAAGTGAGCAATTTAGCTCTCTTGCTCAACCCATTCTCTCCATGTGACCCTCACCAGATGTGTTCCTTGGACCCTGGACTTCCCAGCCTCCAAACTATGAGAAATAAATTTCATTTCTTTAGAAATTACCCGGTTTCAGGTATTCTGTTATAAGTAACAGAAACAGACTGACACACAAGATGAAGAAGGAAAAATAAAGGGAGAGAAACGCACAGTGATAACATCCTTGCTTTAGAATTTCTCTTCTGTCTTTACCTGAGAATGAGGCTTCTATCTTCTGCATGGAAAATTCTCCAGATTTACATGCAACTTCTCAGTGTTTAACTGATAAGTGCTCAACAAACACTAAATGCTATTTAAACTTCTAAAAACCACTTCTGAGTACAAATACGTGACAGCCCACCTCAGCTCTGTTATCAGGGATAGGAATGGCCAGCAACTTGTCGATGCTCCCGTGGGACATCCCTGTGGTTATCCTCAGATCTTCCTTCAGCGCTTCAACATTCTTAAACATTTCTATTAACTGACCTGCAAGAAAAAAAAAAAAAACCTCACATGTTGGTTTTAATGTCATTCTTTTTAGTCATACTAACAAAGAGAAAACATGTATGAGGAGGGTACTTCAGAAAAGTTCCTGGAAAGGTTTGCATTATCTTCTAATTCCATTTTTCCACGAATGTTTCCTCATATCCAATATATATGCCTTGTCAGGAACATAAGTCTCTCTTTTTGGCAAACTTTGCATCTTTAGAATCTATTTCTATCAGATTTAGATTTCTTCTTATTATGGTATCATTAACCCAAGGTAATGGATTGCTCTGGCTTATATATTTTCCTTAGGTGTCTACAACTCAAGGTTGATTCAAGGAAAATATGGTTTCCTCACAGATTCTGATCACATAAGGCACTAAATACATAGCTCTCCATTTGATTTAAAACATCACACAAATTCAGAATGTTTTTTAACCTGGGATCATATAATACATCAAAGTAGGACAAGGTTTGATAAATCCACAACATAATGCCACAGAGAGTTTTTCTTCAATTTTTCCCAGCACTCTACAGTTTATAAAGGGTTTTCATAATCATTTTCTCACTATTAAACAGAATGTGTTTAACTCCAAACTCTTTTAGGACAGCTATTATAATTATTTCATATCTGGGTCTTTTAAGGCATAATACTCAATATTTTGATTTTATTTTAGCAGATTGCAATCTCCATTCTGCAAACATCTTTCAATTCCTTTTATTAAGCATCCCTCATGCAAATATACCTTCTTTATTTTTGGACTTAGCGCCCTTCCAATTTTGTGGCTTCCTGTTATCCAAAATTCTGAATGCCTTTCTTCTCAGTATTGAGGTATTATGCAAAGAAGACATGTATTGCATGATACATCATGCTCAGAATACTAATAGAAAGTTCTGAATTGAAATTTATGTAGACAGCAGTGCATCTTTTTTATTTTTTAAATCAGATTATTCCACAGAAGCAAATAAAATTTATCCTTGCTCTTGCAGCCAACTATCTAATACACTTTAATATATCAGAGAAACAAAATGTGAATGGTCTAACTAGTTAAATTTTTGAAGATCTTCATGCTGTGAAATCAAATTTCCCTGTTTTATTCTCTGCTAGTTTTCTGTGTGTTTACTTTAGATAAGTAACCATATTTTAAAGTGTCAGGTTTCTCATGTGTGAGGGCAGATAGCAAAGCAGTTTTGGTTGGGCACTTTTAAAAAGCCTTTCTTAAATGGTAGCATGAGAATCACATGCATTCTAATAAGATAACACTTAAAATATGGATGGGGAAACACCTGGTTTCTCAGAAGTGTCTGCACTGTTATTGACATGCAGCATGGCTTCTATGGTCGGTATCAACTGTGTGATATTTTCCAAGTAATTCATTTGCAATGCCTGTTCTAGAAACCTGTAACAAAGCAGAAGAGAAGAAGACATTCACCTAGGCATATAAATATTTTGAAAGGATTTCATCAAGGAAAAAGACAATGGAAAAACTTACTGATCCATATTTAAATTAATTTTGCTAGGATCCCCAGTCACCAAATCCCTCAGTTTTTTAGATATGATGATGTTATGGTGCAGTAAGCTGGCTGCTATTTCGGTGCCCAGCTCTGCTGCTTCGAGGAGTTGCACATGGATTGCACTGTCCTCACACAGGCTCCCGAAGCTCGAATTAGAGAGCAGGCATGATTTCTCTATTGAACTGAAAGTTTCAGGTTCACAAAGAAGTTCCGTCAAGTTTCGAAGCTGAGACAGCTTTCCAAAAGGGAGAAAGTAAAAAATAGATTAGTTACATTATTCTGCATATTAAATAGTGGATAATAAGCAACTAAAATTGTTTTATTTCAAAAAAATTCTGCATATGTGTTTTGTTAGTCAGCATTTGGCATTAATTTTATTACAAAGCACTATTTTCTGTCATTTGAGTTTATTGTTCTCTAATAATTTTATAAAACCTTTGGACCTATCAGACCTGTCTTTCTCAACTGTAGGCTCACAGGTTTAAAAAACGCAGTTTAGTTTTATCCAGTTTAAATCACAAATACATCAACTACTTTTATATTTCAAATCAGGTTGTAAGGGCAGATAGAAGGCAGGTTTGGTTGGGAACTTTAAAAAAGGCTTTCTTCCTCACACACATTATGATGGCTACTATAAAAACAAACAACGATGCCAAACAGAAAATAACAAGGGTTGGTGGAGATATGGAGATATTAGAACCCTTAGGTGGGAATGTAAAATGGTGCAGTTACTATGGAAAACAGAATGGCCGTTCCTCACAAAATCAAAAGTAGAATTACCATATGATCCAGCAGTTTCACTTCTGGGTATATACCTCACAGAACTGAAAGCAGGATCTTAAACAGATATTTGTACACCTATGTTCATAGCATCATTGTTCATAAAAGCCAAGAGTTCGTGGAACCAACCCAAGTGTCCATAGACAGATGAATGCATGAGCAACACGTGGTACATGTATACAATGAAAAATAATTAAGCCTTCAAAGGGGAAGAAATTCTGAGGCATGCTGCAACATGGATGAACCTTTAGGGTATTATGCTAAGTGAAATAAGCCAGTAACAAAAAGACAAATACTGTGTGATTTCATTTATATGAGGTACTGAGAGGAGTCAAATTCACAGAGACAGAAGACAGAATGGTGGTTGCCAGGGGCTGGGGGTGGGGGGAGAAAAAAATGAGGAGTTGTTTAGTGGGTATAGAGTTTCAGTTTTACAAGATGAAAAGAGGAGATTGGTTGCACAAAAATGTGCATGTACTAAATGCAACTGAACCGTTCAGTTAAAAATGGCTACCATGGTAAATGTTACATGTATTTTACGACAATTTTTAAAAATTGACAAAGAATAAAAAACCTTCCTTAAACCACAGCATGAGAATCACATGTATTCTAATAGGACCATATTTGAAATATAGATGGGAATACACCTTGATATTTCAAAATTGTCTGCAGCATTATCAAAGTTATCTTCTGCCCTCTTATGCATTGAAGGAAATTAGGTGCTTTCATCTTATGGATGTGTTTTTGGGTTTAAAATTCCACACCCAGAAAAAAAGGAGAAAAAAACAGAAATCAAATAATTTCCTATCCTATCAATTATATTCCTCTCTGTGGTTCACTATATTTTGTGTTTTCTGAGGATATATTCCCAAGTCATACATCGCGGGGGAAAAAAAAATATGTCTATGGGAAAGCCATTTCTGTTATGCTTGGAAGCTACCCTAGAACTATTCCTTTTAAGAAGGCAAATAAATGTGACCAACATCTAAAGAGGCAAATATATGTCATTCATTGCAGCTCGATTTCCAACCAGAAGTTACATTTTGACAGAAATGAAATATTTTGTGGTTCAGGCAAATGGTTGGGAATATTTCTTTCTATATATCAAATGAGAAAGGCACAATGATGTATCTTTAATGAGAGGTTTATAGTAACTACATGTAGGCTGTAGCAATTAAACACTGATGATCTTAAATAGCAAATATTTTCCATTGTATTTAATGTTATACTTGATCTCTGGCTTTGAACTATCTAAAATGGCCTCATATGTACAAAAAATTCTACTTGCAAGTCTTATTGCTATGAGAAATTTTCCATTCTGGAATAGACCCAATCATTTTACTTGCTGTAACTACGTTTGCCACTCTATTTTTTCCTTAGATTTTTCAAATACTACATATGATTAAAACTCTAATAAATGAAACCAAGCCTCTATACCACATCCTCCAGTGACTTTTGTCTTTTGGTGATTTCTTAAATAAAAGGATAAATACTTGTGGCTCAATATATTTGTTTAATTGAGCTTTGAGTGTAGTAAATTTGAACAACTTTTACCCAGTAAAACTGAAATATGTTTTTAATTTAAAGTTTGGCATACATGTATGGGAAATCAATAAAAGTCCATATAGTATATATAGTCTTGGCTTGATGAGAAAAAATTTATAGAAGGAAAAACTGGAAATCTAGCCACATTGCTGATGTAAGCTTGGTTCTTTGAAATAAGAATATGATTCAGGGTCAATAATGTGGAATGCCTTGAGGAGCATATCCTCCAAGGAGCGGAATGATGATCATTTGGTATTTGTCATTATTTACTATATTATTCTAAGAACAATACATGCATTAAACTTTTAGAAGCTTCATGGATCATTACTAATTCATATAAATTCAGTGAATTATAACGCTATCTTCAAAAGTATTTGTCAATGCCAAATTGTAGATTTCCAAAGCCTCATAGAGAGCCCTTCTCTCCTCTATCACAAGTAGGAGTTTAGGCCTAAATTTGAACAACACCCATGACTAACTCTGTTTCTAGCTGTGGCTGAATTTCCCTGTGCCTAGTGGTTCTCAGATGCATCTGAATCAGAATTGTGAGTGACAGTATGGTACAGACCTCACAATAGCATGGGCATAAAATAATAAAAGAGCAACACTTACAGGCTCTAGACATAGAGACCTGAGCTTGTAAAAGACAGAGGCGTGAACCTGAAATTATTCATGCCTCTGTCTTTTACAAGCTCAGGTCTCTATGTCTAGAATGTACAACTTAACCTAAGCGTGTAGGATATCCATATCCCATCACCATACAGAGAATGCTGTCCATCCACATACCCCAACACTTATCTCACTGTGTTATGAACATTGGTCTGCTTTTTCATATCCTCCCCTGGATTGATTATAAGCACTTTGGGGATAGAGAATATGTCTTATAAATAAATAGATTAGTATTATGGGAGCACAGATGATAGATGGAAACAATAAATGGATAAATATTATAAGCAAACAGAAGACAAAGTCATTATCCTGGCAGGGAAACAGAGAAAGGTGATTCTGTTATATTATAGACGGAGTGACATTTAAACTTGTCCTTGAAGGATGAGTAGGAATTTTCCCAGATGCATGCATAACTTTCTTCTCATTTGCACAAATTAAGATAACGCTAAATTAAGTATATTAGAAATTTCGATTCATGTAGGAGACTAGGGATACAATGTAGGTAATCTAACTAGGATATTTATTTTTAATATACATGGACATAATGTTTTGCATGCCTGCTAAATTATACCATGTTGACTATACAGCAAGTCACTCTGCTTGCCCTGAATAAACTAATTCTAATTTTACTTTATCCCGGACTACATAAATCCAACTAAACTGTTGTTCTTACTAGGAAAGCTGCTTTCAAAATTCCATAGAGTTATTTAAGAAATGAACTTAATTTCATGATAACCTGCATAGTACATGTATGAGCTAAACAAAGAATAATACACAAATAAACATGAACCAATTCAAATGTCAGAGTTTAATTTTTTTTCTGTTGATTTTTCCCTTTCTTCAATATCACACATTTAATATGACTTAGTTTCTTCTGATGATGATAATAATAAAAATAGGGTGAGTCAAATTTTGAGATTTTTGTATGCTGTGAAGTATAAAACATCAGCTTTCTTTTTTTTTTTCCTTTTTGTCTTTTTTTGTGTCCGGCAACGGATTGCAACCCTCAGTGTCGCGCCCGTACCGGACCGGGACCGGCAACGGGATTGCAACCCTCAGCGCTGCTCCCTCACCTCGCTCAACCAGTGAGCGGGAACCGGTCTGTATGTGGGATCCGAACCCTCGGCAGGAGCGCTGCCGTGCTCCCAAGTGGCGCACTGTAGCAGTGTGCCACCAGGCCGGCCCCAAACATCAGCTTTCAAAATCTACTTTTATAGATTTAAAAACTTAGAACATCTCAAATAAGAAATCATATGATAAATCATTTTTCAAATTAAAAAGCTCAATAAGATGACTACATTATTAGCCATTTCTTTATGTATGTGGATACTGTAATTAGGCTCATAGGGTCATTTCATACAAAAATCTCTATTGATTAAAAACAAAATACCATTATATAATACCAAACTCTTTACTCACTTTTTTTTCTACAATCATAAATAGAACCATTATAAATCTAGAGTCAAAATAGGACCATTATTTACAAAAATCAGATTTAAAACTTAAACTAAAATTATATCTTGCCAAAGTATTTCATGAAGTATTAAGGTTTATTACTTTTTTTCTTTCATGGCTTACTTTTGATTTTAAGATTTCAGGAACTGGAGGGAAGTAATCCTCATAGGAACCGTTTTGAAGAAAAGATTTTTTAAATCTAATTGTGGACTGCAGGAGTCTTAGATTTTCTGTGAAGGAGGAGAGAAGAGTTACCTTATGTGAATTGCAAGGTCATTTAGGAAACCCATTTAAAAGACACCCTTATCCTGATTTATCACTAAGTTTTTTCTAAGATAATAGCCTAGTTCAGTATAAATATATGACGAGTGAAAATTTAACCTTTCCTTGAACCATGGGGACTAAAGAGTTCATTATTTTTAAAATATTCATAGATATTCTGCTTAGAGATAAAAATATTTCTAGCAAAGGTGCTACACAGATTTGGCTCTGTGAACTGAGTATGATTTTATTTATGACTTTTGGATATACTATAAAGTTGAAATATTTTGGGGGCAATAGTTTACATAATTACTGTGATGTAAATATGCCCTTCCAACCTAGATTAATTTATGTCTCGTAAACAAAGACCAGGCTTAAATATTTGTTGTGTCACTTGCTTGCCATGAAGACTCAAAAACTATTTGGTGTGGAGAGAAGGGAATGTGTGTTTCCTAGAAAATGTGAGAAAATAGATACTTTCTTTTTTTTAAAAAAAAAAAAAAAAGAATTTTTTGATTAAATGCAATCTTCATGGTTGCCCATGTAGGCAGAAAATTGAAAATAAAGTGCAGGAGCGTAGGAAGTAAAACAGTTTGTCACAAAAATGCCTTGTTTATGTAATATACCTTTGCTTTTGGAATTCTTTATTATCATTCTTTATTATTTTTTTTAACAACTACAATTATTAAGGGCATAGAAAACATCATGAAGGGTTCTGTGAGCCTTGAATGACTCAGGACAGTTAGAAAGTTTATCTAGGTGGCCATTATCACATTATCCGTTACATGGCCATTATATATTAAAGTTTGTGCGGGTGACCAGGTAGTAGTAGCAGCAGCAACAGAACAATATAATAATATGATCAGTATTTTCTTGTGGACTGCAGGAGTCTTAGATTTTCTGTAAAGGAGGAGAGAAGAGATAACCTTATGTGAATTGCAAGGTCATTTAGGAAACCCATTTAAAAGACACCAAACTGAAACTGATGCTTATGGAAACGAATATTTTAAAATTTTTCTTTATTTTGTAAGCAAATGTATTAAAAGACTTACTACTTGAGAACAGAATTAGAAACCAAAACCACGAACAGATTTTACTATGAAGAAGAGTATTACCTTGTGATCCCCTGGCCAAATTGTCAGTCACATTTCTCACACACACCAGGTAAGGAACATAAGGACTATTTGCTGATATATTTAAGAGGGCATCTTCAAAGTTTTCCAGGATAAGGAGCCTGTAGAATTAGAAAAGAATATATAAATTAAGTCATATGAAAATAAAGCAAAGCCATTTTGTTGAGATCATTTGAGTCACTGGTGGTTTGGCCACAGCTGTCTTGGGCAACGAAGCACTATGAAGTCTGACATCTTCCCTCATTACGCCTCACTGTACAGAGGCAGCTCGACTCTGGATTCTCTGAGTGCTTGCCTTTTCCATGTGCATTATCTTTACATTTAATTATTATTATTATTATTATTATTATTATTTTTTTTTTTTGTCTTTTGTCTTTTTTTCCATGTCCGGCAACGGATCACAACCCTCAGTGTTGCCCCCGTACCGGACCGGGGACCGGCAACGGGATCGCAAGCCTCGGCGTTGCTCCCGCGCCTCGCTCAGCCAGTGAGCGGGAGCCGGTCTGTATGTGGGATCCGAACCCTCGGACGGGAGCGCCGCCGCGCTTCCCAAGCGGCGCACTATCCAGTGCGCCACCGGGCCGGCCCTACATTTAATTATTTTAATATACCATCATTAGTGATCTTAAGATCATTTCTAAGATATATTTATATGAAATGAAAAATCACTAGACAAAGGATGACAGATAAAATACAGGACTCCCAGTTAATGTTGAATTAAAGATAAACAATGAATACGTTTTTAGTGTAAGTACCTTTCATGAGTCTTGAACATTTTTCTTTTCTTTTCTTTTTTTTTTTTTTTGTAAATTGGGCAATCCCTTCTGGGCCTGTTTCTTCTCTTGTCAAATGAGAGATGGGGACTGGATGATCTGTCTGTTAGCTTCCTTCACCAATAACATTCGAAGAATGTATTTAAATTCATTTAATTGTGACTAAAAAGAACTAGTGGAATCCAATTGACCAATAGAACAAATAACCTTTTTACTCCAAAAGACCAACTAGTCCTATTGGATGTTCAACTTAGATTTTATTAAAATGCTAGTTGGAGAGACTTATCCTGGCGTAGCTAGCAAATGTAAGGAAATGTTTACATTAAGATTAAAGACGCCTCAAGGTGTTTAGATGCCAGTTAACAACACCAGATCCTTTAGGAACTTTAAAAAGAAAAAAAACTGGCAAGAAAAGTCTCTAACTTGGCAGTCAGGGCACTGCCAAGTGGTCAGAAGGCTGACTCTCATTTAAATACAGTTCATAGCCTCCAGATTTTTTTAAAAAAATAGCACCCATTCCAAAAGCACTCCTGCTTTTGCTTAGGCATTTCTTTGACTACAGACTCTTGATTATAATATACAAGGGTACCTCAAAAAGTTCATGGAAAGATTCATATTATCTTTTTTTTTTTTTTTCCTTTTTGTCTTTTTTCATGACCGGCAACGGATCGCAACCCTCAGTGTCGCATCCGTACTGGCTGATTTTAGACAGTTGCCTTCATTATTTATCAAATACTCCTTGTCAATAATCAATGTCACTTATCAATTCACAAATGAAGAAGAGGAGATTATATTCTTAAATTTTCTGGCTTAGATGGAAGAAACAATCTATCAGAGAAATTTCTAAATCACATTATAACTATTAAAAACCCAGCAAGAGTGTGATAGGCTGACCACGTAATACTAAGTCATGCCTACATATAGTCAAGTTTCAAGGACTGTAGCACCAACTGTGACAACAGTCAAGTCAAGGTCTAATCATGATCAGTGTACTCACAGCACTGTCCTGAGACAAAAAACCCTGAGCAAGTATTTTGGAATATGCGAAAGCTTTAAGAATGTTGAAGGAAATGGGAAGCAGTGTCAGAAAAAAGATTCTAAAGATGAAATTTGGGAGTCTAAAATATCAAAGAGATAAATGGAATCACATGCATAATTTTAAGTTTACTGCATCTATTTTCTTTTGGGGGGATAATCTATTTATTTTATTTGTACAGGTTTCAAGGTAAACTTATTTCTCCTGCGAGCGACTTGAAAGCATGATCTGTTTAATTTTGTATCACATCCCCTGCTCACCCCTGACTCCATCCCCATCACAGAATATCTAGTGTTTGTATTATGTACATCATAGACTTGAGTTAATAGCTGTTGAAAGGATAACTACATAAGTGAAAGATAGACGAGGCTGCAGAGATACTGGCCATTTATCTGAGAAGTGGCCAGTGAGGCGCATGTGGGTGGTCCCCTGCCTCAGTGAGGCAGTCCTCCCGTACCTCACCCTCAACCCCATCCTCCACCCTTCCCAACACTGCCCGTCCTTTTGTGTTCGCACTTCTCTCTACCATAGTTATTACAGCATAAAACCATTTCCACCCTAGTGCAGTGCTCAACAGCAAAATATTGGCCTAACCTTCCAGATGGACTGGGGCAAGAGTTTCCTGTGAAGCTTAAAATAGAGGACAGTTGGGCTAGAAGTGACCTTAAAATACCATCTAAGCCATTCTCTTAGTCTCATAAAGAACATTTGAT